CAACAGCTTTGGCGGTCAACGCCTCCACACGGGCAGCGAGGTCTGTCTCTTCATCAGCACGTAGGCGTTTGACTCGCTCTTCTCGCTCGACTCTTGAGAGATCTTCTTTGCGTTTCCGCTGCTCAACAAGTTTCCGACGTTCCTCCTTAGCAGCCAAATATTTTAGGGAATGACCTAGTTTTTGCTGAAGGGATGGAACGATATCGAGTGGCGGAGCAGAGAAGAAAAGCACATGGCCGGAGTCGTCACAATGAAACTGTTCACGAATATCCTCCGGGATTGCTGCATTTGCCGCCTCATTGAGGCGGAAAACCTCAATTGGACGAGGCGCGTTAGGGTTGTACACCGATGCTGGCGGAACGTGCACACGACCTGCCTGATATGGCGTATATGGAGATGGCTGAGCCGCCGCATACGGGTGCGGCACCGGCGAAGGTTGGTAAGCAGGGGACTGAGGAGTTTGCGGTACAAACGCGCTAGGGCGCCTCTGCAGAGCCGGTTGATAAACCTGGACTGGCGGTACTTGAGGCTGTTGGTAGGCAACTGGGGGCACAGGAACAGGAGAGCCTTGGGTAGGAGGAATTGGGGCGGCTGGAGAGCGCGCAGGGACGGGGACGGCGCCGACTGCAGGAGCCGTGCCGGGACTACCGACGCTTGGTCGCGTAGATGGTTGGCTAATTGATGGCAGACGAGGAGGAACAGTTGACAGTACTGGCTGGGGTAATGACGGGGCGGAGAAGGAGTCGGCTCAGGTGGCGGAGATTCCTGTGTCAAAAGTTTCCAGTCAGTATTCCACAGTTCGAATGGGTTTACGGCCGAAACTCCCCGAGCGGCTAGAAGTTATACTCACATTTTCGTCGCGTGGACGTCGATGTACCGCTCCAACAATGGGCGGCGCATTATCGGCGCCCCAGGTTGGTTTGGGCAGATCGTCAGTTTCCTTTGCATCACTCTTCAGCAAGTGCTTGAGCGGACTCGGTATCTTCTTAATCCTTCGAGGGACATCAAAGAGGTCCATCTCGTAATCTTTTTCTCGCACTTCATCGGGAAGGCAACTCGCCCATGTTTTAATCTTGTTGAGCTTGTGCTTCTCCTCGTTATAGCGTGCCTCACAGACGTATACTTCCTTGTCAGGAGGAAGGCCTCTAGGGCGTCCGCGGTTGTACCGAGTAAAGAACATGACGAAGCAGCGGTCGACAACCTCTTCAATCCGATGATCACGGTACTGGCCAGTCTTGACCACCTCGTTGGGGTAGAAATGTTTCTCAAAGTGATGGACTGTCTGCTCAGGACGGTAGTACCAGCAAGCATTGACCCACTTTTCACCTTCAGAATCCTGCCATGTGCGGTAGATCTGGGCGACGATGGGCTTGGTCACATCGTTCGGATTCTGTATATGAACCCAGTCGCCCACTTTCCACAGCTCACCTTTGTACAGAATGCCATCCGGTAATGGGAGACGACCATCCTCCATCAGATATTCGCTGTCAGGTTTCCTCTTCTCAATCTCAGCAAGCCTCCTCGCCTCCACTTGCAAATCAACAGCGTCCTTGTATATCTGACTGTCCGGCTGGTTGTAGGCTTTGGCATTGTTGAACATCAGATCCATATCGCGCATGAAATGGTCAACTGAATTGTACTTCTTGCGCTTGGACTTCCGCTTGATAATGTCGATCGCAATCGGCTCCTTAATTTCAACGTAATAGTCCGGATATGTAGCTTTGTCTGGCAAGCGTTCAAAGTGTCGCACTTTGAGCATGCCAAGAGGCCCTTTTAGCTTCCGGATCCCCTTCAAAACTGCCTTAATTCTGGCTTCCATGGGGGTGTCGACACGCGGGGGCCGGCCCCGCTTCTTTCTGAGCTCTGGGTCGGCTGATTTATGCCCGTCATCCTTCCCTGCGTCTCGTTTCCAGCCAGGGCGGGGACCCCGCTTCTTCTTGCGACGACCATCATCATCGGACTCATCCTCGTCGTCCTCCTCATCATCATCCTCATCATCCTCATCTTCCTCCTCGGGAAGAGGATCCGCCTCCGGAATCTCTCCTAGATCGGGAAGCTCGGCTTCTTCTGCAGTGATAATCCCTTGTTTAACCAGTTTTTCAAATTCTGCTATGAAGACGTCCTAACGTGGAGAACGAGGATCAGCACGGTGGTATTCGGCGACAGATATGGAGTTAAAACCTTTATGAGTGGTACGAACCTTTATTACAAGCGCATCCTCATACGCTTGTGAATTTGGCCGATTATACGTCTGCGCATTGTGAGGGATCTAAAGCGAAGATAACAGCATGAGTAAAAGCCATAATCAGGTGGTTCCATAATGGCAGAGAAAAAGCTGCGAAACTTACCAGGGCGCAGTCTCGCACAAACTCGGCGAAGTTCTTGTACTCTCGCTTGTTTATCTTCTGTTTCAAGATACTAAGGGCCATGGGCTCTTTGATGATCTCATAATAATCAGGAACATTGCGCTTATTCACGCTGCGCTGAAACAGCCTGGACGGGTCATGGCCACTTTAAAGCGAAGAAAGTCAGCTATATCTAAACGGCGCGGGCACAGCTCAATCTGTTGAGACGTTGAGATTGGGGCTTTTCTTTCTGCTGCGTTGTTCTGCTTGAAAGTCGCAAGGGGGAAAAAAAACTGGACTTACTCCTCTTCTCTGAATTCATAGATAGCCAGAACAACGTCCATCATCGACCTCCATTGATCGTCGGTGACGCCGCCCGTCGCAGAACTATCGCCCTTGCCATCATCTTCAATCGATTTGACCGGCTCCTCAGGAGCGGGTTGGCTTTGCGACGGTTCCGACGCCTTTTCCATGCTGTTAACAACACCCCTAACACTGAGAGTGACACCCACAGTCAGAAAGCGGGTGCAGAAAGTCTCAAGATAGCCGACCACACTCTTTCAGGGAGATGCAGATTGCTCAATCTGGCGCGCAAAAAAAGAGGCGAGATGAGGAGAGAGGTTCGCGCAGTCATTACGCTGACTCAGCGAGTTCCTGTCACGGTTTGACCGGAACGATACCATACGGTAACTGTCTGAACGTTACCGACCGTTGTATATTTAGGTACCTATTTCATACAGGGGTTGGGACATTCATTGGTAATATTATGCACATCCAAGTTTCCAGCGGACCTTACCTACTGGCTGATTTCTGATGTTTCACAACCATCAAGCCTTGTCAAGACCAATCTTCTCTTCTACTCCGTATCAGCTTCCGCATGATAGAAATATGGACTAAGTCGATACGGATTAGCGTAAGGACGGCCAGTGCGGGGATAGCTCGAAGCCTCCCGTCTCTGGACGCATGTGTACGGTACCTATCTCCTGTCGTCATTGTCTTTTGAGCCTTCCATAGCACCGTGCGCAGCGTGTATGTCTACGAGCTCGGTCATATTCTTTTTCTTTGGTTTAGCCATGTCTGAGGACTTTGTGAACCAACACAATGACCGGGATGTTATGCCCGAAATTTCTCAGCAACTCAAAAGTACAATTCGCGCCATTTCCCAGTACCTACTCCAAGTCTCCGTGTCCTAAGGGAAATGCACCACCAGCCCCACATTCAACCGGTTGCTGCTCATCAATCGTCATTCCATCTCATCCACACCTCCGGTGGCTCTATTTCGTACCGGCGACTAGATACTCCCGTGTGCCCTGATACTCTGAAATTTTTTTCGATCTGCTGTCTGGATTCTGAAGGCTAGGCTTTCTGTCCTGGACGTATCGACAAGGTAGTTGACGTTTCCCATCGGTCTTGTCCCAACATTTCGGCACTCTATCTACTTAGCTAGTGGGAGATGAGGATCCGAGTCCGTGGACCTGCTGGACAGTCTACCGTCACTCTTGATGACACTGCAACTGTCAACGATCTTCGCGCTCACATTGTCGAGAAGACTGGGTTGACAGCATATGATGTGAAGTATGGATATCCCGACCTCAAACCTCTGATATTAGATGGGTTCCCTTCGGAACAGAAAATCAGAGACCTCGGGATTAGTTTAAATGGCGAACAACTGCTCGTCACCAGGAAGGAGGATTCGGCACCGACGACTCTGCCACAAGCACCAAGCGCCAAGGACAGTGAAAGACCATTATCCACGGCGCAGGATGATGATGGAAAACTGTCTCTAACGCGCAAGCCCCATGAGGGTGTGTCGGATGATCCTCCCGAGATTGCTTCGCCCGAACATTCAGGCACTTTTGTGTTGCGCATCATGCCTGACGATAACTCCTGTCTGTTTCGCGCGGTAGGGAGTGCAATCATGGGAGGAATGGACACTATGACCGAGCTTCGGTCGATTGTCGCCCAGACTATTCAAGCGAACCCGGACGTTTACTCGGAGGCAGTGCTAGAGAAAAGGCCGGACGACTATTGCCGTTGGATTCAGCAGGAGGACTCATGGGGCGGAGCAATAGAGCTCAGCATTTTGAGCAAACATTTCGATATCGAGATCTGCTCAATCGACGTGCAAACGCTGCGGGTTGATCGGTTCAATGAAGGTCCGCCCACACGGTGTGTCCTGGTGTATTCTGGGATTCACTATGATACCATTGCTTTGTCACCGTCGGATCCACCATATACACACGCTTATGCCCCTCCGGAGTTTGATACCAAGGTCTTTGATGCAGCCGATCCGGTAGTTCTGGAGAAAGCGCTGGCGTTATGCGAGATTCTTCAGAGCAAACATTACTTTACGGATACTGCAGGCTTTCGCATTCGCTGCAATACTTGCGGCGGTATTTTCATCGGCGAAAAAGGCGCTACCACGCATGCGACACAGACAGGACATTATGATTTCGGCGAAGCAAGCTGAAAAAGCCGCAACGGGTACAGCCGGCTACGTGTTCCCGATATCTTGCACTTTGCATACATTGTTGGATAAGGTATATCTCCACGAGGAGTGCGGGGAGTTCTCAAACCATATGCAGAAATGTGAAAAACCGAGGATCGAGAACGTTGTAGTACAACACATAGCAGCGCATTTATATATAGCGGACTCATTGGATTGACACAAACAAAATGCCGTTCTTAGTGGGATATCATAATCATACATAATTTCCAAACCTTCTACACCATCGCTACTTCATCCGCCCCGTCATCATCTCTATCGCCTTCTTCGTCCTCCCCAGTATCTGCGCTGTCCTCAGGATGTCCGCCCCACTCCACATCGTGCTCAATAGGGTTGGTGAAGAACTCGTGCCGCAAAGCTTCCCTGGCACTTAGTCGTTTGTACGGGTCCAGCTCCATGAGACCAGCCAAGAGTCGAGTGGCTTGCCTCTCGCTCTCGGTCAATTCTTCCACGCAACTGGCCCATTTCACCAGTTTCTCCCAGCCATAGCCCTTTTCGCCAATGGTAGGAATGTTGGTTTCGAAAATCTGACCATGCATGGCCGCTGCAGTCTTCATCCGACGGGTGCCAAATATACTTGCCATTTCGATCATGGCATCAACATCGTCAGCAGAGTTGAAAAAAGGGAATCGACGTCCAAGCAAGGTTAACAAAATCACGCCGGCAGACCACATGTCTATCTTGGTTGTTTGAGATGTACATTTGAAAAGAACCTCCGGCGCCCGGAAGCCGCGAGTTCCCGCTCGATTAGCACGTCTTGCCGGCCGTGAATCGTTCTTAGGGTAGCCGGCCGAGAGCGCGGACGTAGAGCAATGCGTATAATAGTAGCTCTGCAGCAACCGATTGCGGCGCACAAAGTTTGGGATGGCGCAAAGACAGGTGCCAGTATATTCCGACCCCTCACGCTGGAAAAGACGAATGAGAAACTCAGTAGTGAAACAGTTGAAAGTGGACACTTACTTCCGCCAGACCAAAGTCTACAAGGACTCCTTCGCGGAGCTCGGGGTTGTACAAGAAGTTACTGTCAAGGGGCTTAGAAAACGAGTGACGCAATGGGCCGACACACAGCAATCCACTTACGTTGGCTTGATGTCTCGATGAAGAATATTGTGCTTATGGACGGAGTTTAGCGCGGTGAAAAGGGATCTGAAATAATGTCGCATATCGGCGACCATGAATGTGCGATATTGAATGCGAAAGTCGGTATGGGGAAAGAAAGGCAAGACAGCCACAACCTGGTCCTGGTGCCTGAAAGCTGTGATCAAAGGGCACACGGACCGGCAGCCCCGAAGGTCATGGAGCAGCTCCAGCTCGTTTTGGATCCTCAACGGACTGCTGGTAACGTAGATCTTCTTCAGTGCAACATATCGCGGTTTTCTCCGTTTGGTGACCGACTCCTCCACTCGTCGTCTCTTTGCCGGGGACTTGACCAGTCACTGCTTTGGTTTTCCTGGAAAGTGTCCCAATCATTCTTGTAATGGTCGTACAAAAGGTCCTCAGCTTTGTAGACTGTTGAAAATGTCCCTATGGTAATCAAAGTCCAACGCTCAGCATACATTCAACAAGTGGGAAGGGACAATTCCAGTCATGAGATAGAAGGGATGTCGGTACCTTCACCGATCCTGTTCACCAGACGGAATCGATCAGAGATCCCCGGAAATGTATCCTCAAGTTTCTTCATGTCTTCCCGGACAGAGTCGTCCACTTCTTCTTCCTCATCCTCATCTCCGTGGTCGCTCTCTCCGCGACGTGAGTCTACCGAGGCGTCACTGTCTGTGGCAGTACCATCGTCTACCACAGCCATGTGTCCTTGTGTGCAATGATGGTCCGTAGCCCCAGACTTTTGCAGTCCAAAGACACCAGTAATTGGGGCGTGCATTGTGGACATGTCACTGACCAGAGAGATGTTACCACCAATATGGCCGAAGCTAAGTGAGGGGTTCCTCAAAGATCTTGCATGGACCGACGCGATCGACTGGATCAGGGCCCCAGACCACAGGGTTGGCAATGCGTTCTGGGAATGAGTGGATTATGCAGGACAGCGCGTCGAGGATCTCTCAAATCATCAATTTCGCAGTTGGTGACGACGGTAGGCGCGTATATGATTGTATATGATCCATCAAAATGGTTGGGTCTAAAATAGTGAAAAGCAGCATGCAAATTGTCCCTATCAGGTATGGTGGTGTTTGTTTACTTCTGCTTAGGATACAGAATTAGTTACAGGTAATATAACCAAGGTACCGAGGTACCTAAGGTACATTAAGCATATTCAACTTAGGGTAATCTGCTATCCTACACAGTACAGTTCAATACATTTCATGAGTCTCTTCATTTCACTGTATTCCATTCTGTTAAGCCTGTACAATGAGTTTCAGTCTTAAGCTGATTGTGTACCTGGTACCGCAGATTCCATACAGTATTTGCAATGTAACATACAGGATTTCACCCACCCCCATTCAGGATAAGATACTGTTGTACCGCCGCCGCAGAATGATCTAAAAAGGCAAAACACAAACAAAACCTACGGCACGCCTTGCATCACCAAACATTCTCCTCCCTTCCCGCCGCCGGCTCTTTCACGCAAACTCATCCCCCTCTCTACCCCCACTCCGAAGTGTGAAAGCCCCATTCCGTCGCTCAACCTCTTTAAGTGTCCTTCGAGGACATCCTCGCAGTCGGCTCAGGATGGAGGACAGGATTCAGTTCGATATCAACGAGTCACTCAAATATTACTTGAGTGATCCGGCCTCCGTTCCGACAAACGATGCCGATCCGGAACTGCTGGATTGCGAAAGCGACCTCGAGCATTTAACGCCAGTATTGATCGATAATGTGCTCAATCCCATTGTAGATGCTGTGGCTGAGAACCCCGAAGCATTGGCGAGACAGTCATTTTTTGACTCACTGCAATTCCTTCTAAAGTGCGCGATGGCCCCTTCTCCGTTCTCCGAGTTTTCTGGCCCAGTGGAACCCATTCTGAACTTCTCAATCTCTGCAGATATTCGTCTTTCCTCCCTACGAAGTCCCTCAGCAAACTCCTCGATCTGATAGTGTCCGGACTGTCTGTCGAAGCAGATATTATCCATGGAGATCTCGAAGCCGACGAGCAGGATGCTATCCAGCACCATAAACAGCTATTGGAGATGTATGGCTTCTTGCTTCAATGGGCTCTCTCTGCTGTGGAAGTCAAAGCGGCCGAAAAGCCCGCGGAGGCTGCGCCTGCTCGGAGAGGTGTAGGTAAATCGGGAAGGTCCAAGAACAGCAACAAGGACGGTACATGGGACTGGACAGCGCAGATTCAGATATCCATGGAGACGATGTGCAAAGTGATGAAACTTAAATTAAGCAGGATTTTCATGACCACATCGGACCGCGACACTTTCGTCAACTTGTTCACCCGTGCGATTTACCTCATTCTGGAGAGCGAGCAACGGGTCAAGAGCCTAGCCATTCGAATGCATGCTTTCAAAGTTCTTTGCATTGCTGTGAAACATCATGGCCATGCATTTGGTAGGGTCCACGAACATAATGAGCAGTGATGTCTGAGCTAATATGCTGTGAAGGAGCGCAGACATCCATCGTACAAAGCCTGACCTATTTTGAGCATCTGTCAGAGCCTATGGCTGAATTTTTACACATTCTTGCGGAGCAATATGACTATCCACAACTATCGGACGAAATATTGAAGTACTTAGATGTCTCACGCATCACCACTGAACTATGGCTAATCGATCGCAGGGAACTTGGAAACAAAGAATTCAACTCGAACGACACACGGGGGCCGAAATCAGTTTCGGCCTTTATCGTGAAGCTCTCAGAGCTGGCGCCGCGGCTGATCATCAAGCAGATGACTTTATTGGCCAAACAATTGGATAGCGAAGTAATATCCCCAAGGCAATCTTATTGGTTGAGTACGAAGATGGGGCTAATCATTTCTACAGTCATACACTCTTCGTTGCGCTGTTGTTGAGGTTTGCGGGAATCTAATTGCGGACCTTAACAGACAAGAAGAACGCAGTGAGAACTACAAAACCCAAATCAATGCGTTCTTTGATGTCCTAGAAGAGAGATTTCTCGACGTCAATCCCTACTGCCGTTGCCGAGCCATTCAGGTATATATGAGGATCTGTGACCTAGAACAGAAGTTCCCCAAAAGACGACAGGCAGTTGCGGAGCTGGCGGCAAGAAGCTTGGAAGACAAAAGCAGCAATGTGCGACGCAATGCGATCAAATTACTTGCGAAACTGGTCTCTACCCACCCATTCAGTGTAATGCACGGCGGACAGCTTTCCTACAAAGAGTGGGCGGCTCGTCTCGACAATGTTGATGCGGAACTTAATGCACTACGGCCACCTGAGACACCCGGCTTCGATGGTGGTGAGGCTTCACATGTCGACAGCGAGCTGTTAGACGACGCGACCCAGATACCTGAAGATTCCCCGTCGAAGGCACCACGCATGACCGATGCCGAAAAAGCTGCCGCCATCCAAAAGGCCGCGGAACAGGCAGCGACGTCCGAACTACTGGCACGACTGCAGCTAACCAGGAAATACTACAACGAAGCCATCCGTTTCATTGAGGTGCTTCACTCCGCCTCAGCAGTGGTCTCTCAGCTCCTGTCATCTCGAAACAAGAGCGAAGTCATTGAAGCCATGGACTTTTTTGTAGTGCTTGATGCATATAAGGTTGAGACTGCACGCAGTGGCATCAGGCGCATGCTGCGACTCATCTGGACCAAAGGCAACAGCGATGAAGGCAAAGGAGTTCAAACCCATCTGATTGACTGCTACAAGGGTCTGTTCTTTGATGCGCCGGACTCGTTCGGCCCCAATGATGCCGCAAACTACGTTGCCCGGAACATTATCAGTTTGACCTTTGGCTCAACACCTGCCGAGTTGACATGCCTCGAACAATTGCTCAGTACCATGATGAAAGCCGGTCACATCTCGGATGCGGTTATTGCGAAGCTTTGGCAAGTCTATGGCGTCCAACGCAAAGAGATTTCCAAAACTCAGCGGCGGGGTGCCATTATTATCCTCGGTATGCTAGCCCTGGCGGATCCAGAGGTTGTAATCAAGGAGACCGAAGTTATGCTGCGCATCGGGCTGGGCAACATAGGCAGAAGTGATCTGTTGCTTGCGAAATACACCTGCATTGCGTTGAAGCGAATGGTGCCTGGACGTCAGGCGAAATCGAAAGATGCTGGCATTCCCAAGCTAGCAAATGATCACCCAGTTCTCAGTAAGCTTGCCGCCATGGTCGAAATTGTGTCGGACAGCAAAGAGTGGTATGGGGTGGCAGAGCAAGCCATTGGAGCCATATATACGCTCTCAAAGCATCCAGATGTCCTTTGCTCTGATATTCTAAAGCGTAAGACTAGGGCTGTGTTTCAGCCGCAGCTGCAACGGCCTTCTTCCAAGGCCTCTGGCGATGAAGACGAGCAGCGCCCTGGAACAGCCTCCACTGATGGTCAAGGCCCGCGGCCAAAGACATCTTCCGCCGCACTGTCTCAGTTGCTTTTTATTGTCGGCCATATCGCTATTAAGCAGATTGTCCATCTTGAGCTATGTGAACTTGACTTCAAGCGTCGCAAGGCAGAACAGGAGAAGCATAAGGCTGCCAATACAGCCGCACACAAGGACAACCAGACGGGCGAGGATGATGAATTGGACCTAATTGGTGGGACGACCGAAGATGACTTCGCGGAGGCCATGTCTCACATTCGAGAACGGGAATTGCTCTACGGAGAGAATTCTCTCCTGTCGAACTTCGGGCCTCTGGTTGCGGAGATTTGCGCTAATAGTAACGCTTATCCCGATCGCAACCTTCAGGCGGCAGCGACTCTGTGTATGGCCAAGCTGATGTGCGTATCAGCCGAGTATTGCGAAAAGAACCTCCCCCTCTTGATCACCATCATGGAGCGCTCAGAGGACCCGACCGTCCGCAGTAACGCGGTTATTGCTCTTGGGGACATGGCTGTTTGCTTCAATCATCTCATCGACGAGAACACAGATTTCCTATATCGTCGACTTAACGATGATGATGTATCCGTCAAGCGCACTTGTCTGATGACACTCACATTCCTTATTTTAGCTGGACAAGTCAAAGTCAAGGGACAGTTGGGCGAGATGGCCAAATGCTTGGAGGATGATGACAAGCGCATCGCTGATTTGGCTCGCATGTTTTTCACGGAATTGGCGACTAAGGACAATGCAGTGTACAATCACTTTGTCGACATGTTCAGTCTGTTGAGTGCTGAGCGGAATCTTGAAGAGACTGCTCTGAGACGTATCGTTAAATTCCTGATCGGCTTCGTTGAGAAGGTGAGTTACCCAAAATCTGACGAGAAGTGGCGCGTATCTATTCGTCGCAACGCGTCTCTGACTGTTTCTTCTACAGGAAAAACATGCCAGGCAGTTGGCCGAGAAACTTGCTGCTAGACTGCCTCGATGTGAAACCGAGCGCCAGTGGAACGATGTGGCTTATGCTCTGTCCCTCCTGCCTCACAAGAACGAGGATATCGCAAAGACAATAAGCGCAGGTTTCAACAAAGTTGTCACTGCAAATTCTTGAGTTAATTGCAGGTGTTGGGGTTGGATTGGTGGTTGACCATGGGCATTCCATTTCTGTCGAGGAGTAAAGGCGCAGCTTTTGGGACTGTGGGAAGGAAAGTTTACTTCATGATCACGAATATATATGGCTTCATGCAGCTACTCTCTTCTTTTGTTTACCATGTTTTTTTGGCCTCATTTTACATGGTGTACGGGGCTGATTCCCGTAGCTTCAAGAAGCGTATTTCCCGTTTAGATGTTATGCATTCAGGTCACCCTTCCGAATACGCTCAGAATGTAAAGTAAGGGTAACGGAATGGCCTCTTGAAAAGCAGTCTTCTTCTATTATCAACAAACAGTTTACGGAAATGATGGACTGACGGAACCTATCGCCTTCAAGTTGTCCAAAAGGGGCAAGGACTGCACGAGGTAAAGCGTATCTTCGCCTCATATCACATAGAACATGGAAACATGGGAGGACTAGACGCAACAGAGCTCACCAGTGAGCTGCCGGATACTCCAGATTCAAAGCCGCAATCCCATATGCAAATTTCAAAACTCAGCCCAGAGACTCAAGCACCTTTTCTTTCGCTTTCCACCAGTTTATAGTCGCCGTTACGAAGACCCTGCAGGGCTTTATATCCCTCTTCGGTCAACTCTGGTCTTCCCAACGGTGTAACACTCCCTGTGAAAAACCGCGGCTGCCACGATTCGTTCTTCTGTTGCCGCTCTGCTGCCTTTTCTCGCTGTCGCTCTTCGATTTCTTGCTTGAGTCTTGTTGCCTCGCTGTATCTTTTTTCCTTGATGGCTTTGGTGACCCCCGCCCAGAATTTGAGAGACTCGTTTGACAATTGGTCCTCTTCGGGAGGTAATGTCTTTGGCACTGGGAAGAGAGACGTTACATCAATCAAGAGACGCGGCTCAGCTGTTCCAGCCATTGTGTAATATATCCGTCCATGCCATGACCCGCTGATCTTGGCAAGAACATCGCCTTCGGGCACATCTTTGATTCTAGTGATGGTATCTTGGTTCGGGTCGTACCGGAAAATCAACCCTTCCACCTTGTTCTGGGCTCGACCAATCCAGCCTTCCTCCAGATACTGTAAAATGACCTTGATGCGTGTTTTGGAGCAAGTGATAAAACACGCATCTGAGACCGAAATGGCCAGCGCACCTCGCAATAGCCCACCAAGATGAGCACTTGGATGGGTCAACTGGTATTCCTCATTATCTCTCTTCTCAATATTGACGAAGATTCCCAGGTTGTGTTGACCAGGAGCGACGCGGATGCTCGTGCCCGTAAATTTGGCACTGAGCTGATCGAATCCACGAGCGGAGACCCCTTTTTCCGGGCAGTCTATAAAGAAGGCAGACACTGGTGGATGATGTGATGTCTGTTCAGTCAGGTAGCATATCTTGACGGTTTCTCCGTGGTCACTGTCACCCGTGAGGGTCCCGTTTTGCACGCCTGTTGTCGGCGGCGAAGATATGTCGGGGCATTGTCGCGAACCTCCCAACTACACTATAAAAGCCGGATTAGTCGTTACTATCCTGGCACGCCGCGGCGGTCTGCCGTTGTGCATCGACACTTACCCGAAAGAACTCGCCCAGTGTCGAATTGTAGGGTTTGCAAGGTTTGCCTTTGATATATTTCTGTCACGGGCTTAGTGCATATTTCTGGCAAGACATCCAAGGTGACGTTGAAGCCATACCAGATCCTTGGTAAACCAGAACCTTAGCACTTCCAGCATTCGACCAACGGGATCATCCGACTTTCCTATACTGTGATCTTGCCTGTCAGATACCGAGCCTTTGCGGAGTATGAAAAAGAATATCTTACTAACCTCGCGAAAGTTTCCGGTCTGTCAAGGTAGTTCCAATATTCTAGAGATTATTCAGCTGCGTCAGATGTCTCGCCGCATAACAATGCAGCCCGGGTCGACTTACCCAAATTCGGTCTGGGCTCCAGAAGATGTGCGGGTAAGGAGAAACGAACAGATGCGATGTCTGCCACGCCAACGAATCTAACAGGTACAGAAATCGTATTAGTTCTGAGAAGCACCATAATAGAGCTCAAGGCAGTACGTACTTGCGGAGAATGGAAAGGAAGGTTTTCAACTTGGACGAGTCATCATTTGCCTTGTCGGGTGTCGCTGCAGCTGCAACAGAAGACATCTTGGGCAAAATCGCTTATAGAATATACAATGTCAAGTCCTCTTTCGGACGAGCAGCGGAGGCAAAGGCAAGATCCCCGAGCGGCTATGTCCAGCGTTTAGTCAATCCAGACACAGCAGAATGTCTATCCCGGACGAAATAGTAGTAGAAAAGTCGATAGGGGGAACTCAAAAGACAGTTGAATAGAACGGCAAGTAGGGGAATAACGATGAATACGATATAAAAAATTAAGACGTCGCGTAGAACTCGAGGCGGTGACTTTTCGCCTGCCCCAACGGTCGAAGAATAAAGATACCTTAAGAGTTCCAGTTAGCAGATACGTCACCGACAATTCGTTATCGGACAACATAGACTAACCTAATATAATAGATAATGACTAGACTAGTTAAACCGTGGCGTTTGACGAGGGTGGAGGAGGAGACTTGGCTTTGACGAGTTCTGACCTATGATTTCTGGCTCTATTATGGGTCCTTGGCCACACTCAACGGGTTGCAACCATAGGAGAGAAAGAGAAGGACGAATGAAGAAAGACAGGGACTTCTCTTTTTTCCTTTTCCCTCTGATGGTGAAAGCATTATCTATCTAGATCGTCTCATCTCCCATGTCAGCCGGACCATTCGGCCCAGTCCATCCTTGTCTCATCTCTTGGGGATAAGAAAGTAAGTATGCAAGGCTGTCATCCAATCGGCTCACCACGAGGGGTCAGAGAGCTTTCCTGGGCTTTCTACGGAGGAATGAAGGAGCCGTATGAGCAGAGTAACAAAGTTGATTGGTGGCAAGCGGTCCAATCCCGTCAATTGCCCTTTGGCTGGATTTAAGGTACAAAGCTACCTGAACCTTAAGAATCAGGATAGATACTAGGTACCATCTACATGGGCGACAGGAAGCGTTTGCAGCATATGCCCCCGGCAGGTGTATCGCATGCATGGCAATTGCCATGGCATTATTATTATTGTTGTTGGCAGCGAATGCCACTTATTCAGCATAGTCTATCGAGTCAATCCTTGAAGTTTCTTCTTCGAGCTGAAGAATTCTACGAGCGATGCCAGAAATTGATTTCTCCGAATCTTAGGAGCATCCCTCACCTCAACAGCTTGATCAAGTCAAGCTCTCTATGACTTTTTTGCGCGCCAAGAACCGAATCCACGCTCTCACTGCTGGACCATAGTCGAACCGCCGTCCGGTTGCATAGTCATCGTCCGCCCGGTGGGATTGCTGTTCGTCCAAAATAGATGCTCGAAGCTCCCGCTGCTCGTTGCTGAGCCAGTATTGATGCTGCCTCAGTTCCTCCGCTGAGGCTTTCGCATATTGTACTTCACGCTCTGGCGGGATAATCACACCGTCGATGCGATGCCTCGTTAAGTTAAAGGAGCTATCGGGTCCCAGTATTGTGTTTTCGAGCAGAGACACGGAACTTTCGGGCCCGGGACAGGTTTCCTCGGCCCCCTCGCGGGAAGCCAACCAGCGGTTGACTGCTTCCAAGCATTTGACATTGACTGCCAGCTTATCTTCGAGCTCAACAAGCGGATCCTTAGCCACGCTGAGAATGGAGAACTCAATCTGATCCTCTTCGTACTCCGCCATCCTGGTGAGGATGTTGGGCCGTACTAGGGTCAACCAGTCATCGTCGGGCGCATATTCCCCTGGATTATCATCAAACTCATGTCTACCGTTTGTGCAGATTGAAGGACACTCACCGAGAGCTTGGGGCTGACGCTCCAAGCCGTCAAACTTCCAGACTTTGCCCATCGCCGGGACAAACGCGATAAAATGGAATCCAGCGTCAGCCTCAAACTCATCATGTCTGTTATTGCCCGATCGAGAACGTTTGGATGTCGCCTCCACCTTCAGCTGTAGATCTGAATTCAGTATGTCCATTCTTCTGCGTTTCAGATGTGAGTTGAAGCGACGATAACACGGTGACACGACGGATCGGGAAGAGGAACCAAGGGAGGAGTGGGAGTGTAACAAACGACGTACCTTGCAAACGAGTTGTGTATCCTTTTGACAAATTCAAAGTTGTTGATGGCATCACCCCTCAACGCTGGTGTGAACGGCATCGTAAATTCTCTGAAATGTCGTAGATTTTCCCCAAGGTCGATTCCTTCGATATTGTTTACAATGTTCAGGAGTGCCACGCTTGCGCAGGCATTACTAGCTGTCTTTGCAAGATAAGTCAAGGGAAATGAGCATGAGACATATATAAGGAGACAGACCTGGTTTGCAAACCAAAGCCCTTCTGGACAGCTCGCTTCCTGCTTATCAGGATCATCTTCTCGCCAGCGAAACAGAAAGATTAGACCATATACTGGTTTACTACTCGCAGGTAAGCCTCTTCAGGATTAAACAGGCTGAAAGAATGTCGGAGACAATGGCACCGGAAGAATCATACTTTAGGAATGCCATCAATTCATCGTCCAGTGAGACAACTTCTTGAACCTTGACCCCTTGGACTCCGAACTCGCGCAACATCACGTTGAAAATAGCCTAGGGAGTATGAGCACCGCCCCGTGGTCAAAGTAGCGCGCATACCGATAGCATGAATCTGCGATCATACTTACCGGCTCCGACTCAAGCTCACAGAAGCCGTTCCATTTCTGCCTTTCCAACACATTGGCAGGATTGCATGGCGCTGCAGTAAATGGGTTTGCCATCGTATGATTCGACGACACAGATGCTGGGCTCGAACTGGCATTCACTCTTCTGCGTTTGTTGCGCTGGCTCATGTTGGCCAATGATTTCCTTCGTAGAGCCTGGTTGGCAGAAGCTACCTTCCTTCTCTTCGGGAAGATGTCCTCTAGAGACAAGGTCCGATCACGAATGATCAGCAAATTCCAGAATGACACAACGCTCATTCAGAAGTCAGGAGCCTGTATGAGCATGTTATCAGGAAGAAATCAATAGATAAAGTCTGCTCGCTGGCTTCCTTTCAATATCCACTTTTCAGTAGGGACAGGATGGAGATCAAAGAGAAACAAAAGAGTCCAAGCCTCTAAGGGGAAAAAAAGAATACCAACGTCTTTTGATCTTTTCGTTTGCAGGGAACTCATCGAAATGACTCAGATAGGCAATAAGATTATGGAGTAGATACCAGTCTGATGAAATAATAATGGATGGATATAGAGGATACCTTATTGAATTTGGGGAGCTCGTTCAACATTGCTGCTTTCTGATTGGACAAAGCTCCTTTCGTTCTTCTTCCTCGACGCGACTTCTCGCGTTATGGTACCTATCTATGGAGTATAGGGTGTAATATCTGGTGTATGGTAGTATTAACGATATCTTGAGAATAAATACGAGGAGATACTTGTGAATCGATGATGATATGTAAGGACCTGATCGGATTATCCGCACCCGTTGAATATTTCATTTGAAAAGTTAGTCCTCGAAGAAAGGTACGTTATGTATGACAAGTATGTAAGTTTCCTGGTAATGGAGGCATTCTAAGGTACTTATTCCCGATCCTACAAACCCAATTCATCCGACAAACGTAAGAAGATTTAAGATGATCAAGAGGGAAATAGAACTACAAAGAAGATAAAATATGAGGAGGAAAAAATGAAAGATCCTCTTATGTCAAGTCAAAATGAAGGGGTAGGTAGAAAGAAGATCATACTCGGTAAAAAGTTCTCTCTCTATCTAGCTGGAGGAGGAGGAAGTATGCTAAGAGCTGTGTGATCCGCGCTTGTCGACCCGCTAACCGCAAAGCTCTTCTTTTCCCCGTTCTCTGCTAGCTTCCAGTCAACAACCACAATAACAAAAGTTATTACTACATACACTGCTCTCAGAGGTTGCCGCTACTGCTGTTACTGCTGATTTTAGGGATATTCATCGATCCCAATTTGCCGCGATCCTCTCAAGTGACAGTGCTACCTATCACCTAAGTTTCAGCTGGCGAGTTACGACAGTCGCGTATGGCTTTCTCTTTTTTCGAATTATTGGGTTATTCTTTTGATTGTTGACGTCTTCGATAGACTGGCCCTTCGTATAGGCCCGCCTCACCTTGATCAACAGCGGGTTCATCTCGGCAACCAGCATGCCATGAACGGCACTCCTCGACTTCGGTCTGCCTTTCCTCAGACCCCTCAAACACTTCAAAGAACAAGAGAGTATAACATTACACCGACGAGGCCTAAGCCGCGGGATGTCGGGCTGCGGAGATCCCCAGTGAAAGTACCGCAGACCAAAGCGGACGCGCCTCTCGTTCCGACCGGCGTGATAGATGCCCCGTCGCAGAGGCTCTACGTGGTAGCTTTCTACATTGCGCTCAATGCATGGCGGGTCTATGAGTCTTGGACAGCTTCAGACGAGCTGGACTCAACCTGGCTGTTTCTAAAATGGGCTTCCATTGACGGTGTATTTCTCTTCGGCCTGCAGGCCTTGCGCATACCTTGGCTCGAGTGGGCGTTTCCAACAACGCTGGCGATCTTCTTGCTCCATGTTGTCGGTAACATGTTTCTCATGTTTCGAATTCCCGTGCGTATCCCAACCTGCCGTGCGATGTCGGGTTGCTTACACCAAGCAGGTTCCAATGAGTGCGTGGATCTCCGGAATCATCAAAGTGGCATACGATCGGGAATTATCCATTTCCGAACGTAGTGTCAAACCAGGAGATATTATTCATAATGCCTCTCTCATTCTTGGAAAACAGATCGTTCACATTCTGCCAGAGGGGTAGGTTCTCCTTATCAAGGATGCCCGATCTCGCCTACTGACGTTCTTTAGTTCCGCCGTTCTGAACCCGGATCAGATCCCCTTCTGTCTAGATTCTCAAAAAAGCACCGTCAATCTACCGATACGTGTCAATCAAACCGACCCGGTTCTCATAGACCTATTACGCCTGGATCTCAGCACCGGTGAAAACGAAACGATTACAATCTCATCGAAGCAGCTGAAGCAGATGAAACGTCAGGCGGGGAAAAAACTTTCGAGCTCAGACGCACCCGCACACCGTGATATACTCTACCCCATCCGGCGCACTGGTATCTATCGTTTACAAAGAGTCGTGGACGAGTCAAACCTTGAGGTCCGCATGCGCTCATCTGACGCGCTTGTCGTTTCTTGTCCGCGCGCACTAATCAAGAACTCTCATACTCACAAATGTAAGGGAGAATTGTCTAATCTGGTGTTGGAGGTTGAGGGTACACCGCCGTTGAAGATCAAATACAGTAGACAAGTGAATAGGCTTGATCGCGGATTTTCCTTCCAGAACATTCAGCCTGATCACCTACGGTCACCATTGCTTGGGCGGAGAAGCTCAGGCATTTTGTTCGATGCAAAACAGCCGGAGATCACATGGGCCCAGAGTCAGACCATTGAAGTACCACTGAACGAATCTCTGAACGTGGGAGGAGAATGGTTCTACACCATTGAAGAAGTCCATGACGGTTGTGGGAATGTCGCAAATTATTCGACGCTTCTGGACGAAGTTGATCGATCCTCGCCAAAGTCGCTGTCGCATTGGCACCAGTTCTCCGTGCACGAAAGACCCCGTTTATCATTGTCTGGGTGCGACGATCAGCACTTCATAGAGGTCGCGAAAGGAGAACATGTGAATCTTCCCCTAAAGTTTCACCCGGTTGGGCAGGGATATGACCACGATGGACCCTTCTCCTTGGGTTACTCATTTAGGGGCAACGAGCTAGATGAGAGGGATGCGTCCGACAAGGTTCGCCAGCTTTCGCTCAAAGACCTTGACCAGACGCCTCAGATAAAGGAATCAGGCTGGTATATGTTGAACTCTATTTCGAGCCAATTTTGTTCTGGAGAAATATTGGAGCCTTCATCTTGCTATCTTCACAACCCCCCGGAGCCTGAATTGGCCCTGAAATACGAGAAGATATTCGACAAGTGTGCCAACAACTCCGTGGGTCTACTCCTTGATCTCGATCTCACTGGCTCGCCGCCATTCCGCCTGCGGTACAGCATTGAGCACTCGAAAGGTGTTGAAACCAAGTCACTGACTGTCGATGGGCTGCGCACTCAACTCGATTTCACTCCATCTGAAGCCGGATTTTATCGATACCGCTTCTTAGATATTGCGGATACAGTCTATGCGCCTCGCTCTTTGAAAGATCAAGTGCCCGTCTTGGAACAGGACGTGAAACCACCAGCCTCTGCTCATTTCCTTGGCTCCAGGGAGGTGCGCAGAGCCTGTTTCGGTGAACCCGTTTCCGTAGACGTTTCCTTCCTTGGGGAATCGCCCTGGACTCTGCATTACGAACTGGTCCACAATGGCAAAAAATCCAAGCACGTCTTAGAATCGCATGCCGAGATTGCCACTATTGTGACTGAAAGACTCGTTAGTGGTGGTGAATATAATCTGGTACTGACGAGCGTTAAAGATCGTTCGAACTGCAAACGGACTTTGAAAGACAGCATCAGGATTGATGCTCGTTCGAAGCCGCCTCACGTATCGTTTGGGCAAATCGATAAGAAGCGAACTGTGTCAGCCCTGCAAGGTGCAAAGGTTGATATTCCGCTGAGACTGAATGGTGAACGACCATGGACGGTCAACTACAGGAATCTAGACGTTGACTCCCCTGCTATTGAGAAGACGTTCTGGCAGGAAAACAGTGTCTTGTCAGTGACGCAGGAAGGGCACTATAATCTCATTGGCGTGACAGACAGCTCTTGTCCTGGGTCTGTTGACCAAGCAGCCAGGGATTTCGAAGTTTCTTGGATACCTCGGCCCCATATTGCTGCTGTAGACGGCTCCCCTTTGGTAATGGGAAGCCCCATCGAGAAGCGCGACGTTTGTCAAGGTGATGACGATAGTGTGGAACTTCGCCTGACAGGAAATCCGCCATATACCATTCAGTGCGAACAACAACGCAAAATGACCCGTGGCACGTCCTCTATTCGAACAAGAAGCTTTAAGACGGCCCTCCATGTGACATCCATGGAAATGGACACGTCTGAAGCCGGGTTATACACGTACAAATTCAAGGAAGTCGGGGACAGCCTTTACGACTATGACCCAAGAAGTGAGCCTGTGATTGTGATGCAAAGAGTGAACCCATTGCCCTCTGCACGGTTTGATTCTCCTGGCCATATTTACGGGTTTTGTAAAGAGGACGTCAGTGGTGAAGAATCCATTCCTGTTACTTTGGATGGCGTTGCGCCGTTCTCCCTGGAAATCAATATCAAGCACCATTCGAACGCCAAACCCGAAGTCGTGTCAATTCCCAACATCGGCTCCAATCGATACCATCTACCTATTCCGCGTCGTTATTTGAATCTGGGCCAGCACGTCGTGAGCATTCACAAGGTTCGAGATGCGCGAGGATGTCAGCGAACGTTCGAGAACGATGCCTCAACAGTCAGAGTCGCCGTATCCGATGTGCCGACAATCATTCCGCTCGAATCCAAGATTGACTACTGCGTTGGGGAGCGCCTGTCTTTCTCCCTGTCTGGCCATGCCCCGTTCGACGTGTTTTACACGTTTGATGGGGTTTCGAGGAAGGCCACCTCCCGTACAACTAATTTCCGACGCATCGCGGAAAGACCGGGTATATTCACCATTACCGCAGTAAGCGACGGTGCCAGTGGAAAATGCAAGGCACACAAGAACATAACAAAAACCATTCATGAGATGCCGAGCGTTAGAATCAGCAGAGGTCAAACCTCTGTTGTTGATATCCATGAGGGCGGAGAAGCCGAACTCCAGTTCGAGTTCTGGGGCACACCACCCTTCGAATTCACGTAAGTCTTCTTCTTTCCTTTCACTGTTGCCCGTCTACCCTGAAGCAGAGAGGATTTTGATGCTCATCGTCATTTCATAGTTACATTCGAAGTTCTATCCCCCGAAAAGGAAAGAAGCCAGAAGTCCTGGACATCAAACACGATATCTCTTACGAGCATAAGAAAACGATCAAGACCTCTGACGAAGGAACCTACGAGGTCGTCGCCATCAAGGACAAGTTTTGTTCTTTCTCCTCGCAGGCGCAAGTAGAAAAGCCGCAGAAGGTATTGGCCGGATCATGATTTGGGGAAAGGGAATGATTTTCACTTATGTAGGCCAGCTGGAGCCGTTCCTGTATCCCATTTTGTCCGTGTGCTATTCCATGTTTTCCCTTTCTCTTGTTTTCTTTTTTTTTTATTTTCCAAGCATCGCATTGCAACGGCGCTGAATTGGGTACCACTATAGTACATATCGGAAAACAGGTCTCCTAAGCACTATTTTCCGTATCTTCTTTGTGCACATCTATCCCTTCAATCAAATGTGCCCCCAACCTCGCAATCTCGTTCAAGATAGCCGTTTGGTTGATGGAAACATCTTCACTGCCCTTCACCTCCGGTTTCACCAGGGCAACAGGTATTGTGGAGTATGTCATTTTCAGGCTCCAATTCTTGGGCTTGACCGTATGTGGGTTCCAGAGGCCTGCAATCACGTCGCACTGCTCATCGCCATGAAAGAACAGAATGTTTGGACTAAAGCACGCCTGCAACTCGCGAACGAATGTTCTGACCACTGTGAGCTTATCGGCTCGCTCTGGAATGACCTGTTGTTGCAGATTCTTGAATCTGGATGATGATGATGAAGGTGCTAGGACTTCCGTGAGCGCTTTCGACCGTAAACTCAACACAAAATCGTAAGGTGCTAAAGATGTATGAAAGAGGTCGGAAACGTCGAGAGCATATCCTTTTTCTCGCATCAATCTCACAGCCGCCTTTGCCAAAGAGGACATGCGAGCTGCCACAACCTTCGAAGGCATCTCATACTGTGTCCAGGAGATTCCGTCGGTATCAATATCCGAAGCCACAAACAGAGCGACATTATTCATCGCCGGATCGATCTTTCGCCAAGCGGCAAAGCGTGTGCGGATCACTTCAACTGCATTTTGATCTAACTGCCCGCCCAGGTCAACCATTAACGGCTCTTGCTGCCAATCCCACCGTGAGAGCAGATGGAGGGTTCTCAGGAAGCCAGCCATGACACTGGACGGCGTATCCCATGGATACGACTGCGTGAACACCCGAACTGCGAACAACTCCACCAATTCGTCGCATACATGACCTTTGAAGAGATGACAATTGAACCAGTGCTTGAGTAAGCGGACGGTAGGCGACAGTAATAGATGACGTGTACACAGGGTACGGATTGCTTGAGTGAGACGAGGTGATTGGAGAAAAGTCCGCTTGTACATCGCCAGAGCGTACGCCACATCCTGCTTTGCTTGAGCGCTCTCTCCTTTCTGCTTCAGCAATCGTTCTAATAGGGTTTGCTCTCGATCATGATGAATGCGCAAGCGGAATATGACACCGGATGCATGAAAAATGTCAAGATATGCGTTGTTGAGAATTCGGCTGGTGCCGTTTTCTAAACCCACCCTACAAGAAGTAGCGACACCAGATGATCCTAAGCAATCGCCTATTTTGACCAGAAAGGCCACTTTCGTCATTTGAATTGCCGCAAGATCGTCCGGCCAACGCGCCGAGCTCTCGAACTGGAGCACCACATCGACACGTTCGCCCGGTATGCTAGGAGCATGTTGAACCCGGAGGGCAGTGTATCGCAAAAGCGGGCTAGCAGGTGCTAGGTGTCTCACTGTCAATGGAACACCTTCCATGTCTTGAATAGACTTTTCCAATGAGCTGAAGGCATCCGCGATCAGCTGGAAGGACGGGCTAGTATATGAGACTATACCACTTCCGTAGCTGCTAAGTTTCTCCTCGAATTCATCACCAACATAATGAATGTCTTCGTCAACGAAATTGAAATGGCGCCGCAGAATATAAGACAATATCTGAAAGACTATCGATTTCGAGGATGGATGATCGGACCACACAAGACTCTCCAGAATACTGCCATCCTTGAAGCGCCGGAGTTCAGCTTTATCTCCCCAAAACGACCGGAAAGATGCTGCTTCTTCCTTTTGCTCCGCGGAAGGGCCATGGTCGACAACGCGCGAAACGTTCTCTGGATTCATAAGCAGTCCAACTGATATTCTTTCCTTTAGCTTCTTCGAGGATGGTTTCGCTAGGACAGACCACGGTTCGATGGAGCGGCTGGACATATGAATAAGTTTGACTCGATCTCCAAGAGCTTTCAAAAGGACACCGTAGATAGCCTGCTGATTGCGAATAGCTTGAAGAATGTTTCCGTTGTCAAGAGAGGGGAGTGCAATGATCCGATCGAATCTCAACATGGGTTCATTGACCTTCACAATGAAGATTTTTTCAAAATTGTTATCACGGAACTCGTTCAACATTTTGAGAGTTATGCCCGCTTCGTGACGAAGGAAAGTATAAGACCAAGGCGTCATCTTATAGAGTATATTGATTCCACGTTTCCCGTCGTATACAACAGGCCCGTCCCCTGGAAATGGAACTCCATCGACAGTGGAAAATAGTAATGGCTTGGTAAGGTCACGCCCTGCGAGAAATTGTATAGTCGCTTTAAACAGCTGATAGCAACTATACGACTTGAGAAGGATTGGTTTCCCATTAGCACCACCACCCTCCAACAAGAGAGACATGAGTAACGCCCACTCAAAGCCCCGAAGCCGCCCAAGTGAAACGATGAGGCAAAACCCCGTTGCTGGAGCCAGATTCGGCCTAGAAGACAAGCGTCTCGGTAAGAGTCGCATTGCCGAATGGTCGAATGTACGTGTTTGTGATAAGACGCGACAGTGGCCTCTGAGCGGAGAGCCGAATTATAAAAGGGTGTAGGCTCACTATTGCCAGTGTTTTCGCTTGAGACGTAACGCACGTTAATCTTCGTTGGCAGCGTTCGCGAGATGGGAAACAAATCATCTTCGATGGCCGTGATGACGCGGATTTGGGACCTTGCGAGTGCTAAATCGCTGGTAGCACTGCTCGGCTCCAAGACGAGGACTGGACGAAGACTATCGCCTTCCTGTGTAGCAAATTTGACATCCAGGCCTAGGTGTTGCGCTTCCCGAAGGCCGGCAGCAAGGCATGCAATGTAGTACGCTCGTTTGTGGAAGAAGCGGTAATTGACATAATCTTTCTCCTGGAAAAGAGAACGTGGCATTGTCACCGCTAGATCGATTGTGTACTTCTCGGTCTGCTTGATACCGGTTTTCGAGGCAAAACTCCCTACCACATTGATGTTCGATGGCGGAGCATAAGATACGGAGTATTTTGTCTCCCTCGAGGGTCGAGGGTCTGGGAACGGGACGACAATGCCATGTGTGGTGCGCAATTCCCTCTCCGCCTCACAAGCTAACATCGGAGGTCTCTCGTGTAGTCGTTCAATGGCCTCCTTTACTCTGTGTAAAGTGTCCTGAACTCTTGAGACCTGTTTGTCGTAATTGGGCTTCGACGACGACAGCAGTTCATCCAGTTGCAGCTTGAAGAAGCTAGACTTGTAGAGTCCACTGGCTAGTGCAAGTTCTCCGGAGCGGTCAACCTGCACCTTTCTGTGTGAATGGATACTCTTCGACAGTTCAGCATCCCGGCCGTTTGAGCTGAACTTCTGAGTAGATCCATTTTCTGGGGGCGAGCTTAGTTTCCTTCTCTTCGCAGTGTGGGCTGACATGTTATGCAAAGCAAGACGACTGCGACAAATTAAAAGAATGAGAAAGGAAAACGAGAATTTTGAAGCGAAAATACACTTAAAAAGTCATATCAGCCTAATGCAGCAGGGTGTGAAGAAATTATTATGACTTCAGAAGTGCTAACACTTCTTTCCACTGCAGTAAATTTCTAAGATAAATTTTCTGAAGCCATTTCCTTACTTTTGTTTAGATAAGCACCATATCTTCAATATTCCACGTGATAAGACAGCTTGTGGCCAACCAAATCAACTTCAACCTGTTAGCGCTCCACACTTGAGCCCCCGACGTGATGGCGCCGAGATCGGTCTCGGCACATAGTAAGGTAACTAATTACTCAGTCAAGTTACCACTCATTTTTTTTGACACAATCATCTCTCTACCCTCGCTCATTTCGAGCTTTGAATGATCTGTTGAAATATCTTCTTCCGATCAATCTGAGTCAAGTCCACACTCACTACCGCTCACGCCTTCTGACTGATACTATCCGTGCTATCATGCTCCAAGATGTCGGAGGTCCTGTTCCCCCAAACACTGACCATGTATGTGCACACCCCAAGTTGCTTCTCTAAGCCCTGCCAAACAACTCTGTTATGGACCGATCATGGGATGATGTACGGAGTTGATTCCGACAAAAATTTATGTTTGAATATTATTGTCTTTCCCTGGCGATTACGAACCTTCAAATCGACAGGCGCATTCGTTCTTGGAGAAGCTGACCCAACGTCAAGGCAGTCAGTGTATCACTTCCTACGTGGAGTGCCAATGTAGCCTACGAAGAAGGAGAACCGTGGATTGTGAGAAAGATGAAATGTGGCTATCCTCGCTTCTTCGTTCATCCCGTCATTCAAGAGCTTGCGAGGGAAGTTGTAAAACTCCATGGAAATACCGAAACCGAAGCGGCCTCGTTGTTTCCGTCACCCAAGACTGCAAGCGTATGCCGGTCGTTCATTCTTTCAAGGATTCCCTCCCAAGAATCGCCAAGAATCCGTATTATCAACTTCGTTCCTGCCCCTCACACAGAGTCCCGGGAACAGACGATAAGGTCGCCCCTATCGTGTGTGATCTACCCAACAGAATATGCTTATATGGCCAAGCAAGTATGGCAACACAGTGGAAATGGAATATCAAGCCGTCGGGGCGAATTTTGTCTAAGCGCGCTGCGAGATGGATTCCTTGTGGAGGATAAGGAACCTGCACAAGTTGAGCAATCGTCACAGAAATTTTCTAAGGGTCCACGGCGATATCAGGGAAGAGGATCAGCGAATGGTATAGTTCGTGGTGGTTCAGTCCCTGCCTCGGCCCCTGACTGGTCGACGGAGAATACTGAAACTCAGGACAGCCGTGAATACGTCCAATTTATCGAGGAGCGCTTCGGCAGGAACTTGAGCGTTTTACTGGCTGATCAAGCGAAGCAAGCTGTTCGCAGACGAATCGCGGGCGTTCTCACTGCTAACGTCGATTTAAGTGACGCTCTTGATGAAGCATCAGGAGAGGGTAGAGTAGCAGGGTTGACCGATTCCGATGTTTTTCTCTTCCCGAGTGGTATGAGTTCAATCTTCAATACGCACCAGATCCTTCTGGCCGCTAGAGGTCCTTTGAAAAGCATATGCTTTGGATTCCCCTACATAGATACCCTGAAGACGCTTGAGAAATGGGGTCCTGGCTGCCTGTTCTATGGACATGGTTCCTCTGAAGACCTAGACGATCTGGAATCCCGACTGCAAGGAGGCGAGAGATTTCTTGCGCTTTTCACCGAATTTCCGGGAAACCCATTACTCAAATCTCCTGATTTGAAGAGAATATATGCACTTGCACAGAAATATGACTTTGCAGTGGTGGTAGATGAGACGGTGGGCAACTTCTTGAACATCAATGTGCTCCCTTATGCAGACATTGTCGTCAGCAGTCTGACAAAGGTCTTCAGTGGAGATAGCAATGTTATGGGAGGAAGTGCTGTCATCAATCCACATGGGCGCTGTTATCAGGAACTGCGAACCACTTTCAGCCGTGAATACGAGGATAATCTCTGGGCAGAAGACGCTGTTTTTTTGGAGAGAAATAGCCGTGATTTCGTGTCTCGAATTGAAAAGATAAACAATACCACCGAAGACATAACAGCCTTGCTAAAGGAGTCCCCAGTCGGTGAGCAATCCAACACCGTGAGGCGAATTCTTTATTCAATTCTGACTCTTTGTTAGTGAAAGATGTTTACTACCCTAAGTACAACACTTCGAGGGTTTTCTACGAGGACTTCCGTACCCCAATGGTGGGTATGGTGGTCTGTTCTCCATCACCTTCCACTCTGACGCTGAAGCCATCGCATTTTTCGATCATCTCGAAGTTCTCAAAGGCCCTAGCCTTGGAACAAATTTCACGCTCAGGTGAGTGTTCATATACGCCTCCACTGCTCGTTCTTCTGGCAAGCTTTGGCTTACACATTTGAAACAGTTCGCCATATACGCTACTCGCACATTACAATGAGCTCGACTGGGTAAGTATTGCGTTGTTCGCCCCAATTCTCCTTCTGTGGCTCGATGTTTCGCTCCCTTCCCCTGGATTTAGCCCCCGCTCACTGCCCATTGCAGGCTGCTTCGTTTGGTGTTGAGTCGAACTTGGTGAGAATAAGCGTGGGTTTGGAGGATGTATCGAGTCTCCGCGACCAAGTCCAGCGAGCCCTCGCGGCAGCAGCTGAAGCGAAGGATTAAATCAGGATTGATTTTCTTCGATTTTGAGGCTCGGATACCTTGGTACTGGGGCTACCGTCTCGCTCGGAAATGCCTACGAAACGGGGCTCGTTCTCCACAGTTATTGCTGCCTATCCGCCAGCAGAAAAGTATTTAATCAAAATAAGTGGCGGTGTGCGGCGATTAGTTCAATGGCCGGAAAGTGGTTTGGCATTGCATAATGATTGATCGGCTTGTGTGCAACGGCATCCCTCGACGTTGAAACTTGTCGGGCCCCGTATATTTCTAACGGAAACGTGATCCATCCTAGTATCCATTCAACGTCATTAAATTCAGCAAAGAATGCAGGACGGAACGAGAAGCTACTCGCTATCACAGAGATCGATATGCTTTCCTTAGAACTATATACGTGAATGAATAAGTCAGATCCCCTGAGTATTTGCCGTTCCAAAAACAATCAAGGCACAAGGTACAAAAAAGGCCCACTGATATTTCAACTTATTGTTTGATCGTTAGCATCCTCACCATGGTTCTGATTTGAAGAATCAGTTGTCTTTGGCAATGATCAGGTCCTGGCTACCTGTTCGTCTCAACGCCTGTCGCATCGTCTCTATGCTAAACTCGCCGCCGACGTTAGGGGAGATTGGCCTTTGGACGGCCAACCGTGGACTACCCGCAGCAAAACTTTCCCTACTTGAAGAAAGGTCCGATGCCTTGATCGAATTCGGGGTGCTAGTGACCGGATATGGGTCCAATTCATGAAGAAGCCTTGGGGAACGTAATGGCGATGGAGAGCTGTTTCGCATTGAGGGTGACTGGTGAGAGGATTCACGACTAGACAAAAAATCGGTAGCTTCCGCGTGTTCAGCATTGACGACATCAGCGAATGACACGAAGCTCAACCTTCGTACATTGGTACTTTCCAGAGCCTTACATGGCGAATGAGGCTCTTCCAAATCCTCAGAACCATCTCTAACGTGCTCAAAACACGAAGATGGAAGCGAGGGATCTACAGCGAAAGCACCACAAACTCCCGCTGTAGCAGATTGGTGGATGTTATGTGTGACGATCTCAACTGTATCTGGACTGAGGCGATCGTCGGTTATTGCGACAGAGGATGCCTCCAGAACGGGAGGAATATGGTTTTCCATACTTATATGTGAAGGGATCGAGGGTGATGTATGCACTGGCAAAAGATCTTTTTGCACGTCGCGCTCAAAGATCGAGGACGGCGACAAGGATGGAATCCTTGAATCTGACTGATCTATGCAGTCTGGTGAAGCCGATCTGGAGAGATGTCCCGGTCTATATGATAGGCTAGGGTACTTGTCCGGCGACTTGGAGCGCTCATCAGCAGCGGACACATGTGTACCCGGAAGAGCGGCCAAAGCTATCTGGTCACCGTTCTCAACCTTGTGGTCTTCTCTTAAGTAGCGCTGGCGTTCCGATTCGATCCGGCTTTGGTCAGTGACATTTGATTGGAATTTGTCGATAGATGTGTCCTGGATATCTCCCCGTTGGCCTCGTGGAAAGGTCCTTATTGGCTCTTCATTCAAGTGACTGCTCCCTCGGCGATGGATCATCGAGTCTGGACAATCCTGCGTATCCATGGCAGGTGGGCAGATGTGTATTCTTTGCCGAAATGAGATAGCCGTAACTACTCCACTGCTAGAGGTTTGAACACCTTGTGGAGCGCTTTCTGTGCCAGTATAGGACTCCCCAGGAAGCTCCTGATCCTTTAGAGATACTCTAAGCTCCCTGATTCTTTTATGGTTTTGGCTCCAAGTTTGTCATATAAGGTGAAGTATTTGTGAACATTTAGCAATGAACGAAGGAGTTTCGGAGCTACTGGCTCCCATGCGGTAGTAGAGTCTGCACGACAGCTGACGTGTGCAGAAACGTAACCAGACTTAGTAGGTGTTAGGGACGAGGAACGAAGATGTTGCATCAAAATACTTTTGAGGAGGTGAAATAAGACAAGGTTCGCAATACCTAGAGTGAAGTCAGGCAGGTCGGTGATCTGAGTTATTGATTGAAGATGGTCGGAGGTATGACGTCGATCCTCTTATCTGACAGGTTAGAAAGTAGGCTGGCTGAAGGGACATGGAAACATAAACATTCGTCAAAAAGGTAATATTGCGATAAAATCATTCTAAAGCAGCCAGATACAGATAGATCAGAAGATATGCTCGAGGTAGGCCATCGTACGGTAGCATATATCAGTTGGTAACAAGTCGTTGTTAAGGCAGAGAGAATGAATGTGCGACATTGGGCTTCTGATGGCATAGTTATCAAGGGATGGATGCATCTAGAGCTTTCAGTTGGAAATTACAGGTACTTAACAAAAGAGGTAGGGTACGAAGTACTCCGTATTCATAACATCTTACCTTACCTACCTTATCTACAGTGGCACGTCAAATGTTTGAATCCAATGTATTTACCGCTAGCCTGATTAGGGATCCGGATAGATTCTCAACAACTAGCAGTCATAATAGTCCTATAAGCGATATTATGATGCTTTCTATGAAGCGTATAATGATTCTATCCAATACTATAGAGCCTAAATATGTATAATTGCATCTACAGTGATTACTTTTAGTAAAGCGCCGTGATATTGTTAATTTGAGAGGGTATCTTAAGATTTAAATTGTGGCAGTATAGGCAAGGAATTTCCTAGTTAAGCTACGGTAATACCACTGGTTTCAGACTTTTGACCTGCCACTGTAGGTACCTTAGGTGCCTTGGACATAGGTAACACAATGAATAGAGACAGTATGCACTTAGTGCCAGCATATACACCTATCAAGTTTAGGATTTTGTTTCTGATGAGTGCTGGAACTGAGGATTTTATCAAACACCTTTCTATACTCCGTAGCTAGCACTTATTTGACTAGAATTACCTTAACAATCCATAGAATTCCTGCTGATTTTACACTGGTTTTAGACTCATATGGAGTACTTTACTTGGCACAGCGTACTCCTTACTGGTATAACACAAGGTAACTAAGGTACCCAGCAAAGGTAGGTACATTACAGCCAGAGATTAAGGTAGTTCCGTAGAGATGTCTCACCAATAGGAAGAAAAATCCTCATACAGGAATCCTAGACACCGGGGCAGACCTGCATATCCTGCCTATGATATAGTGGCAGCGTTCTTTCTCTACCTCCCTTACCGGGGTGTTTAGAGCACCTCAGGTAGAAAGATACCCTAGCTCTTTTCACGCACAAACACAATATGGACTGTCGAGGCCCTTCATATACATACGATATATATTACGGATAGATCAGAGACAGGACTTCTTGAGGGGACATCTTTAAACTCCTAATACCTCATCTACTTGTATCTGGGACTGTCGTAAGGTATCTGTAGGGTGAATGACTACAGTACCTCTAGGTAGGCATGTATTATTATTATGACCATGCCTTGAACGTACCAGGGCAGGTACTCACCGGCTTCGTTTTACCGTATAATTACCCAGCCAGGGCCACCTCCAATTATTCCGCTGTCACGGGACCTTCAATAATTCGGAAAAATGTTGGCATTTCATCTCAAACCGAATTTGAGATTCCGTCCCTTCGTACCTGGTCTAGGTTGGTTGCACGGAAACATCATTTAAACATTGACTTGAGAGGCAGTATGTCCATTGATGTTCAATTCAAGCACATCCTTATTCGATTATTGTCTCCCGCTAATATAGATTGTATTCTAGGTTTCCGGCACCACGGTCAAATTCAATCGCCATTTGCCTGTATCACTTAGATATTGGGAACCATTCCCAAGCACCCAGTCCACACAATGGCAACTTTCAGTGCTGTTTCGAAGAGGCCATTCATAACATTGCCGTTTCTAATACCCTCCTGCGAGCCGGTGGCTCTGGAGTTGCGCCGAAATCAGTCTTCATACAGACGTACGAAACAACGTCTTCGCGTTAAGCCGGATGCCTCTTTTGGCTTCTCTTCGGATCAATCTCAGGATCACATTATCTTCAATCCTCCTTCGAGCGCTCCGTCCGTCTTTCATACACCGACAAAATTTCTTCCCCCTGATGATGCTCGGAGAACCCTCCGCACCGACGTGTCAATGAAAAGTGATCAGAATCCCGCAGATCTTCCTCCTGTATTCAATTCGCCAACGGAGAAAAAGTATCACCTGACTCCGTCTGATATAGAGGAAATCCGCAAACTCAGACTCAGCGACCCTATGACTTGGAGCAGGTGGAAGTTAGCCAAGCGATTTGACTGTTCTCCGATGTTCATCGGTATGGTCTGCGAAGCCAGTCCTCAGAAGAAGGAAATTCAGAGACAGGTCTTGGAGGCTGTCCAGTCGAGATGGGGTTTGAAAAGACGGATGGCCAGAGAAGACCGTCAATTGCGGAAAGAATCCTGGGGCAAGGATGAATGAATATTGAATAGTACAAATTCTATGCTGTACACAAAGACTTAGTTTATTATGTCCCTACTTTCTTTGATCCCCTCACTGTGCCTTTTCCATCAATCATGATGTGTTTGTGCTATATTATAAGCATAGGTAGCATGGTGCCGTATCACAATTTACCATATTTGGATCTATTCATAATACGGCCATAGTTATTCAAGCTTTCCAATTGGTTTTGCTATTTTGCAAATGGAATACCCCTCTAGAAAGTGAAATAACCGAGTTAATCCGCTCCGTCTGTTCGGTTTGAAGTGCGGTTCGCCTAGTCGCGGCAGGAGGGAAAAAGGGTCGCGTGCGAGCGAAGATATCTCGATTCTCGGCTCCACGTTTAGGTAACAGCTCTCCAATAATCATCCAATAATGATTCATCCGACAAACCATAGGTGATTCCTACTGTAGCCGCCCAAATGCCCCTCCCCCTCCGTCGCATTGCAACGTCCCTGACAGACCAAACTCTTCATAAGCTCTACAAAGGATATCCTCAATCTGTTATCAAAAGAAAGTGCTGGGGATCACAACTTATCTATCCAAAAACAAACCATACATACGCTCACCGATCCTTTTACGGTAACATTAGTGACCAGAAAATGGCGCCGCAACTGGAACCATTTTTCACGCAGTACGTTTGTACTCCGTGGAATTTTTGTGGAATATTTCATTGACTGACGTCCAAAATGTGGATTATTTCAGGGTTGATGAATTGTCAAACTCTTTTATCGACCGTATGGCCCTTTGGTTTGATTCCCACTTGACACATACTAACTAAAGCCAAGGGTTGCGAAAGGCTGTCGCGATTCCATCTATTTCTGCGCATGATGAGAACAGGAAGGATGTCTTCAGGGTAAGCAGTGCAAGAACCATTTCTAGAGACGGACTGATGACGTGTTCAATCTTAAAAGATGGCGCATTTCCTTGCCTCCGAATTAGAGGCACTTGGAGCCGAAGTTGAACAAAGACCCTTGGGTAAACAACCTGGCAAAGAGCATCTTGACCTTCCCCCCGTTGTCATCGCTCGGTATGGCAACGATAAAAACAAGCGGACGATCTTAGTCTATGGTCACTATGATGTGCAGCCTGCCCTCAAAGAGGATGGCTGGGCTACTGAACCTTTTGAATTGACTGTAGACGATCAAGGGAGAATGTTCGGCCGTGGAAGTACAGATGACAAAGGTCCTGTTTTAGGTTGGCTGAATGTCATTGAAGCCCACCAAAAGGCCGGTGTTGAGCTGCCTGTCAACCTTCTCTGTTGCTTCGAGGGCATGGAGGAGTATGGCTCAGAAGGTTTGGAGGAATTCATTCAATCCGAAAGCAAGAAGTTTTTCAAGGACGCAGACGCTGTTTGCATCTCGGACAACTACTGGCTCGGAACTGAGAAGCCCTGCCTGACATACGGTTTGCGGGGTTGTAACTATTACTCCGTCAGCATCTCAGGTCCCGCGCAAGACCTACACAGTGGTGTTTTTGGTGGTTCTACCCATGAGCCGATGACGGATATGATGAACATCTTGTCAAAACTTGTTGACCCTAAGGGCAACATTTTGATTCCTGGCATTATGGACCTCGTTGCGCCCCTCACCGAAGAGGAAAACTCATTGTACGGCAAGATCAGCTATACGATGGACAATCTCCACGAGTCGCTAGGTAGTAAGACGAATATTCATGCAACAAAAGAGAGAACACTCATGGCAAGATGGAGGTACCCATCTCTATCTATCCATGGCATCGAGGGCGCATTCTCTGCTCCTGGCGCCAAAACTGTTATACCAGCGAAGGTTATCGGGAAGTTTTCAATTCGAACCGTTCCAAATATGGAAAGTGACGATGTGAACAAGCTTGTGTTCGACTACATCAAGGCGGAGTTTGCCAAGCTGAATAGCAAAAATACTCTGGACGTGTGGCTTCAGCATGATGGAAAGTGGTGGGTTGCTAGCCCCAAACACTGGAACTTCACCGCTGCAAGCAAGGCTGTTAAGCAGGTCTTCGGTGTAGAACCTGATATGACTCGTGAAGGCGGCAGGTACGTACACTGTTCGAGTTTACTTTCCAGAGTTGACTACTTACATCGCGGTGCAACGGCTAATGTCGACATAGCATTCCTGTTACTCTAAGTTTTGAACAAGCAACAGGAAAGAATGTATTACTCCTACCGATGGGTAGCTCAACCGACGCTGCCCACTCGGTCAACGAGAAACTGGACAAGAAGAATTACATCGAAGGTACCAAATTACTTGGTGCTTATCTGCACTACGTTGCGGAGGAGCCCGTCGGCGGAGTCTAAGATAGTGGTTATCCAACTCCGCGCTGAGGACCAGACTCGTTGGTGGTGTAATGCAATGTATTCCTGGGTAATATTGCCTCTTCTACGGTTGCCATCTTGGTCTACTGCGGACGCAATGTGATCTTTCAAAGACTGAATTACAATTCTGGGTCCTGTTCAACACTCCAGCAATACAGGCGCATCTCAGCTGTCTTAGTTTGCTCAGCGTAGCAGAACATTCAAAACTGTGGGAGTCAATCTTCCTCTCATTCACGAGTTGTCCATTGGAAACCCCTATTTGAAGCTAGACTCTACGCAACAGGTAAATCAGACCGCCAATGAATGTGGGAGGATTTCATTGTTCTAGTAAGATGTAGTCTTCCCACTTGCCCCACGTCACTTGACCCGATGGAGATAAACTTCGGACTTAAGAATGCAGCTAACAAGACACGCGACGACGCGACTCAGCAATACGGAGTAGATGCTAATAATTGTGCTGGGCTCCATTTTAAGCCTCACTTTGGGTAATTCTTAGCGCACAACCGTGTCCCGTTTTCGCAAATACCCTGCAGCAGGAAGACGTGGCGTATCGCTAGACGAGCATGATTGAAATTTCATGACCAAAAACGTATCCGCTCCTTGATGATGGCATCTGCGAAGCGCTTACAGGCGTCCCAGGACCCTGAAAGCTTCAATGATGAAGGCGGCGGCACGTCTCTGACGTTCACTTCGGTACGACTATCAATATATGTTTTGCAATCAGCGAGTTTGACGTGATTATACAGCGCAAACGTATTCGTAGGTCTGAAACGTCACGGTCGGAAGAAGACAACGAATCAAGCGATGCTGAGACAAGGACTTCTTGTTCCATCACTGAGGCTCTGGATGATGACGAGGATGAATTGGAGCTGCGTGCTACACAAGCAATTCAAGAGAAATACTCTTTCGCCAATGAAGAACCGAATATCCCTGCTGAGCACGGCATCCTCGAGCGCGTCGAATGTTACAATTTCATGTGTCACGATCATTTCCGAGTCGAATTGGGCCCGTTGATAAATTTTATCGTGGGCAAGAACGGTAGTGGAAAGAGCGCTGTTCTCACTGCCATAACTCTCTGCTTGGGTGGTAAAGCCTCTGCAACCAACCGTGGTCAGAGTCTGAAAAGCTTTATCAAAGAAGGGAAAGAGTAAGTCGCATCTTGCAATATAAACGCAGGCTTCTAACCATGTTTCCCTCTAAAGAAGTGCAACTATCATCGTGCGACTGAAGAACCAGGGTGATGGAGCCTATATGCCTGATGACTACGGAAAGTCAATCATAATAGAACGTCACTTCTCCAAAAATGGCACGAGTGGGTTCAAGGTCAAAGCAGAAAATGGGCGTATAATTTCCACTAAGAAGGCGGAGCTCGACTCAATCATTGACTATTTCACACTCCAATTTGATAACCCCATGAACGTCCTCTCACAAGACATGGCTCGCCAATTTCTCAGCACCTCTAGTCCTGCCGATAAGTATAGGTTTTTTGTGAAGGGCGTTCAGCTGGAGCAACTGGACCAAGACTACAGGCTTATCGAAGAATCTGCCGATCAAATTGAAGAGAAGTTGAGAAACAGAGAGCAAGACATCAGGATTTTAAGAGATCTAAAAGATACAGCGGATCGCAGATTGGAAAAATCAGATCAGCAGGAATCACTCAGAAGTCGCATTAGGAACGTTCGAAACCAAGTGGCCTGGGCTCAGGTTGAGGAACAGGAAAAGGCAAGTCACTTAGCCTGTAGGGCCAGTATTCCTACGTCTAACAAACAACTAGTTGAGAGACTCCTTGGAGGGCGAGCTCGCGCAAACAGACGGAGAGATAGCAACGGCCGAGGCTCAATTGAGCGTATTTGACGTCAATATACAGGACACAGAGCGTGAATGTGCGGCTGCAGCGGAGTTCCTCAACCAAGCCACTTCCAGGCTCGATCAAGCCAAGGGCGAAAGAAACGAAATAAAAACCAAACTGGAAGAACAATTAAGCGAACGGCATGACCTGCAGGTATCCTCACTATCTTACACCTGACATTTCTCAGCTTCTGATTGTCTTGCGCAGGCCGAGCAACGTCAAATCAAGGAATACCTCAGAACCACAGAGACAAGGATTCGTGAAACTCAGAATCAGATTGCTGACGAAAATCGGCGCCTGGCAGATCTTAGTGGCGGGAGTTATTCTCGAAAAGAGGAACAAGTCCAACAAGCAAAGACCGAGGCCGCTGAGATTCGGAGACAGTGCGCAGAGCACCAGCAGAGTGCTCGCCAGCTATACCAAGAAGCCGAAGAAGCCGAGATTGCAGTCAAATTAGCTGCCGCTCCTATGGAGAAATTGAAGGCTGAGGTCGACCAGGCAGAGTCCAACTTACGCAATCTCAACAGGGAAGGAATCAGACGTACAGGCTTTCATGAAAGGATGCCAGCACTCCTTAAAGAGGTAGAAATTGAACGGTCCTTCTCCAGGAAACCTGTGGGCCCCATTGGAAGTTACGTGAGCTTGTTGAAACCAGAGTGGTCATCTATATTGGAGAACGCCCTTGGCGCCACATTGAACAGCTTCATAGTGACCTCTAAGCGAGATATGAACATTCTTTCACACATTATGCAGAGGGTTGGCTGGTAAGCGATTCCGGAGCTCCGTGCCAGGTGGGTTTGACTAAACTATTATATTCAGCGTGTGTCCTATATTCATAGGAAGTGATGGCCATATTGATACGTCAGAACATGAGCCGGAACCTCACTACGATACAGCCCTGCGGGTTCTTCAAGTGAGTTGGCGAGTTTCACCTTTAATCTTTTTTCCTTCTCCTGAGTTCCAGTTCTGAAATTAAGGCGACTGTTGCCTAACTCTGAGGTTTAGATCGACAACGACCTGGTTCGGCGACAGTTGATTATAAATCACGGCATAGAGCAGATGCTCCTGATTGAAAGGCTGGAAGATGCCTCGTCTGTGCTCTTTGATGGGCCGCGCCCGAAAAATGTGAAGCGATGCTACTGTATTGATGGAACAGATCGGCGCCGAGGAATTCATCTTTCCTACAGTCGAACAGGAGATCCCAGCCAGGCACCAGTCCAAGCCTACAACGGGAGTCCACGGATGAAATCCGATTTAGAATCACAGATCAGGTGATTATTTGATTAACGCTTTAGGGGCTTGCCACGAGCGCTAATATTCGATGTCCACAGAATTCAGCGTGATGTAGTAGCAGGTCTTAGACGCGAACTAAGCAATCAGGAACAGCAGTTGCGCTCCGCTCGATCTCGCCTAGAGAGCTGTAAGCAAGCTATTGAGAGACATAAGCGAAGATCAAAAGAATTACAAGTTCTGTTGCAGAGGCAGGAAGATCAACTGGAAGAGCTCACTGACGCGCTTGAAAGAGAGACTGTCGAGGATGGACATCTGGATGTGCTACGAACAACTCTTCAAGAGGCCGAGGCAGAGAAACGCCTAAACGAAGGGTCTTTGAAGGACAGCGCGGATGCTATGGATGCCATGATGAGAAAATTGAAAGCGACCAAGCAAGAGCTTTCCGCAAAAGATGCCGAAATCTCGACCTTGCAGGAAGAGCTCCGGGTTGCTCAGGGAGAGGAGCACTTGGTGCAAGACAAGCGCCGGAAGATAATTGGTCTTAAAAATACAGCAATTGAGCGGGTCAATGACATCAAGCTCAACAGAACAAGGATTCAACAAGAAAAGGATCGTGTTGCCGCACGTGTCGTCGAATATGAGGAGAAGGCCAGTCTAGTTTCACCACGTGTTGCGATTGATGAAGGAGAAACTGCGAACACTCTGTCCAAGAAGCTTGAGAGACTCCACGGTGATCTTCAACGCTCGAATCAACAGTCAGTATAAGACCAGAGTTTTCTTGACTGTCCTATTGACGGAGTACTAGACTCGGGGGATCCCGTGATGAAATTGCTGCTGAAGTGGAAAGGGCTACTGCAGCCTATCAAGGAGCGATGAAGCAAATTGAGGAATTTAGACTGCTAGCTGACGTAGGATTATTACATACAAGGCGAACATGTCCCTTTGCTAACCGTTTGTCCAGGTTCTCAAAGCAACTCTGAGGCATCGTAAAGCTCGTTGGCTCATCTTCAGGTCGCACATCTCGTCTCGTGCCAAAGCTCAGTTTACATACCTCTTGAGCGAAAGAAGTTTTCGCGGTCGACTATTGACTGATCATAATGGCAAGCTCCTCGATTTACAGGCAGGTGATGTTGAGTACCGTCGACCATGGTCACTGGATCTGACGAGTTGCCTAGGTCGAGCCTGACATAACAAAGGATAGTGCGGGTCGTGGTGCGAAGACTCTGTCCGGTGGCGAGAAATCATTCTCGCAAGTTTGTCTCTTGTTGGCGCTCTGGGAGGCCATGGGATCCCCAGTCCGTTGCCTGGATGAGTTGTAAGTCAGCGCTGTGCTGTTATATTTCTCATTGACTGATTGATATTTCGACAGTGACGTATATATGGATCATATCAACAGGAAAATGGCGATTGATATGCTCGTGAGTTCTCTTTGCAAAGCAACCTGTACTGAATTTGCTTTAACGGTTCATGGCAGATGCTCGCTGCCCGGCGGTCCATTGGGCGACAATTCATACTTATAACACCGGGTTCTAGAGCCGAAATCACCCTTGCACCGGATGTTCGAGTGAAAGAGTACGTCAGCATACGGAAAAATAGAGTTGTGTTGTGACTGATGATATGTGTAGGTTGGCAGAGCCAGAACGTGGTCAGACGAGGCTTCTATTTTGAACAGGATCAGATGCCTGAGTTACAGATTCCTCCCTCGTTTGTTTGGAGGAATTTAAGTGGTCTGTCTCGATCCCTGGTTTCATCGCCTTTCTGAGCGCCAACTTAGATATACCCTGCTGAATAGAAATCGGTTCGAGATAAAGGGAAATGCCCAGCAAGGTGAACTGAAGAAATCTCAGTAGCATTAAATTACGTAGGTCGATCATCCCTGGTTATTGTAGCTTAAATGTGCAAAACGCATAAGAGACCGCCCCTTTGTGCCCTTTGTGCTCTTCAAAAGCGAACAGTCATTTCCAGATCATAATAGATAGTGACTCGAGCACTGAGTAGGCAGGTACTGGGCTAGTTACTTTGACTGCTCAGTAAGGTCAGGTAGTGGACCCTTCGAAGGCGGCAAGGGCCCTACTCACCACCTACTGGTCAGTGGTCATCGCACCATCTCCATTATTATTCACTTACCCGTACGCCTCTACTCAAGAAGTTTTCCCTCCACATACAACACCTTGCATTACTGCAGTGACTTCTTCTTATATTCGTCTAAAATCTACTAACTCAAGTCCTATTGTCTGTGGGCTTCTAATCTCGATCTCCCACTATCCAATCCACCTCCGTACACCTGTCTTCAACTTTCCATACTCTCGATAATCTTCATCCATCCCGGAAGACCTTGAGCTTCCAAGCCTCGTTCCTATTATCGGTTCGCTTGCGAGTGGTCTCTCTGGAGGAGTTCGAACAAATTTAGACTTATAACCTCGCTAACTGGAACCGTACTCGCCTTGTATTGATTGAACCGGAACGCAGACTTTTTTGCTCTGATACAAGTCTTACCTCTAAATCTCTGGGAGCTGCTCAGGATCCGAAACCACAACTTCGAGGACTTCCTGTCCCGGTTCTCCAATCAATCATTCTTCCAATCTCCATTGCAACAACACTGTCTTATTCCTGGAATAACTTGGCCTACCATTTTTGTCTACACTTGACGAAATTTGACTTTCTTTTCTTTCCTACTTCTGGCTATCATGGCAGACGCTCTTGCAAATCAACTCAACAACACAAGCTTAGGGTATGTTCACGTTACCAAGTGGCAGCTGTTTTCAGTTCGAGATAACTCAACTCATACACCCTCTACAGGGAAGCAAACTCGGAAATGAGGTGGAAAGAACAATTGAATATGCCTGCGAAAGACGCAAGACCGCAGACTGAGGTTTGTGGCTTAATAATGGTGTCACTCTTGCATGTGCCTCGTGTCTAACCGAGTTGTAGGATGTGACCGCCACTAAAGGCCTTGAATTTGAAGACTTTTATATCAAACGAGAGCTTATGATGGGCATATTTGAGGCTGGGTTCGAGAAACCTTCTCCAATCCAAGAAGAAACAATACCAGTCGCTCTTACAGGCCGCGATATTCTGGCTCGCGCAAAGAACGGCACCGGCAAGACAGCAGCTTTCGTTATCCCTACTCTGGAACGCATCAATCCTAAAAGCACAAAGACTCAAGCACTCATCCTTGTACCAACAAGAGAGCTTGCGCTCCAAACATCCCAAGTTTGCAAGACTCTTGGAAAGCATCTGGGGATCAACGTCATGGTCACTACCGGAGGGACGGGTTTGATGGATGATATCATAAGACTGAACGACGCTGTGCACATTCTCGTGGGGACTCCAGGAAGAGTATTGGACTTGGCGAGCAAGGGCGTTGCGGATCTTTCGGAGTGTCCTACATTCGTCATGGATGAAGCTGACAAGTTGCTGTCCCCTGAATTTACACCCGTCATTGAGCAGCTCTTATCATTTCACCCAAAGGACAGACAGGTGATGCTCTTCAGTGCCACCTTTCCGTTAATTGTCAAATCATTCAAGGTAAGGCGAGACTATTTTTGTTCGTTTCGAGCTGTCCACTGATAAGCTTCATAAAGGATAAACATATGCGCAATCCTTATGAGATTAACCTTATGGATGAACTTACTCTACGAGGAATCACCCAATACTACGCTTTTGTGGAGGAAAAGCAGAAGGTCCACTGCCTGAATACCCTATTCTCAAAGCTTCAAATAAACCAGTCGATCATTTTCTGCAACTCCACCAACCGAGTTGAACTTCTTGCGAAGAAGATCACAGAGTTGGGCTACTCTTGCTTCTACTCGCACGCTCGAATGCTCCAGCAACACAGAAATCGAGTTTTCCACGACTTCCGCAATGGTGTTTGTCGCAACCTCGTCTGCTCCGATTTGCTCACTCGAGGTATCGATATTCAAGCTGTGAATGTTGTCATAAATTTCGACTTTCCGAAGAATGCGGAAACATACCTTCACCGGATCGGTCGATCTGGTCGTTTCGGACACTTGGGTCTTGCCATCAATCTCATAAATTGGGATGACCGCTTCAATTTGTACAAGATCGAGCAGGAACTGGGAACAGAAATACTGCCAATTCCCCAGAATATTGACAAGAAGCTATATGTCTATGATTCTCCAGAGACAATTCCTCGTCCTATCTCCAATCCATCACAGCCACGTCAAATAACCAATACTCCGGCAAATACGAGCACTGCAGACCGCCGCCATCATAATCATCCAAATAGTGGGCAATACCAGTTCAATCGAGGCCGGGGTTCATACCGTGGACGGGGGCAGGGTCAGCGCCGGAGCGCACAAACCGAAACCAACAAGTTCGGTCACCCTCAGGGCCAACACAGTGGCAAGGCTTCAACAGCGCCAGTGTCATGATTTCGCTGTTGTTATCTCTCACTTGCTTGGAATAATGACCTGAATGTCTACGATCAGTTCGCCTCCTTTTGCTTGCACTCGACCAATGAGAGACCCTCCCGCACTTTGGGGCCTCCTGTCCTTTTTCCGATTCATTTGCTTGGCTCTGGCGATCTATTTATTCCCTCTGATTTACTGCGCGCACATCTTGCCGTTCTCTCCTCTTTTACCTTGAGAAGCGGGTTTTGTTTTTCGAATTGTCTGTACGGTTTGCACTACTTCATTGTAGTGTATGTGGCTTTTTTCTTTAGCCGCTACCTTCACTGCATCATTTGATCTCGTTATTTGCTTGATCCGGTGCCAGTTATGCCGGGTTTCTCGAGTGCTTTTCTTTTAACTTGTACATACCTTCCATTGTTTCAAAGCAACGGGTTGGCGTTTCAGGGTGTTCTTCGATAGGTGTCACTCTTCGGCGTTCACAGGTGTCTTTCTGCAAGGCACTGGTGCATTATCGGCTTATCTTTGGCTTCGACTTGTCAAGTGAACCAGAATTACGGCGGCATACCTCAGCTTCTGACAGCTTCAGACGGGCCAGTCGTGTTTCAGCCCTTTCATGTCCGTCTTGGCTTCGAGGCTGCACTTTTGTGATCTCAGACTCCTACCTGGCTACGTGCATCTGATGGGCTTCGGGAGTTTTTGTCTGATTGCTTTTCGGATTCCATCTTCTCATTCTCCACTCTCGCTAAGTTACCTGTGTGCTGGGCTTATCCGCGAGCATGAAAGCTAGGACATATGGGCAATGAAGGCTCCTGAGTTTGCTCACCCCGGCTCGGCATACCAAAACTTCCATCAATCTTACGTCAAGGTGGAGTTGCGCCATTAATTTGTCTTCCGGCCTCGCCGCATTGTTTGAAGGACGACTTTCTGCAAAGCAACGCAGAAATCAGATACTGATAAAGAATCCAACAAGCGAGGGTTGGGTCTGCGGGATTCAGATGGTTACAGGGCTTGGTTCATCTCGGATGAGCGGATGTGAGGATCAAAGAGTGAAAAGAGAAAAACGCACATACAGGCGCTCCCGACATACAAAAATAAAAAAAAGGAACGAAAAAAACAGGAGGAGAACTTGGGTGAAGGAAAATGGGAAGAAAATTTAGAAAAACGCTGGCAGAGGAGTTCTGGATGGTACCAACCCCTTCTAGGTATATGATAGCCTTAACATTGGTAGCATCTAGTAAAATGTAAATGTTTCCCTCTGTCAGAGCTCTCGAACACTTCTCATATATTTTGGATAGGAATGTCATATAGGGTTCTCATAAATAAACTTGTGGAGCGTAAGTCACCCAGAGATACTGAAGGCTATTTTGCGTTTGGTGCATATGTTGCATCCCGTATCCCTAATACCGGCTCTCCCTAACTACAGCAATAAAAATTATTGCTTACGGGCGTCAACCAGAATTCGCATTTGAAAATGGCTACTGCGGAAAATGATCCCAAGTCCAAGGTCAGGAATTTCAAAATAATACCCGGTTCCGCGCAATCACTGACTTCGTTATAGCCCAGCAGCCTGCGATCTATCATAGCGGGCTCTTCCGCGGGAGCCGTTGAGATTGGCAAGTTCACTGTCACTGGAATCGCCTGTTACTTGAAAATACCTCTGCTGACTCCATAGCAGCGATAACTTATCCAGCGGAGTGTCAGACTATCTTAACTTTTATGATATGTCAGGCTAATCAAATTGTGCAGTCGCGAAGACACGATCGCAACTCAATCGCAGGCTCCCCGACGCCAAAAAGCTCCCATGGCCACCGTTTGGAAAACAATGGTACGCCGGATGCACGACTTTGATCATAGGGAATTCTCTTAAGGCTGGCATCCGTAAGTTCCATCTGGTGGTGCTGCGCTACCATTGTCCAAACTTTTTGATAGAGACTCACTCTAGAATATTCGTAAGGCTTCGTTGCCTTCGACACCTTCAAATCTCTACTTCAGGATGAAAATGGCAATATATCCGGACCAAGGACCGTGATTGCCGGCTTCGGGGCTGGATTCACAGAGTCCCTATTAGCAGTGACTCCATTCGAAAGCATCAAGACACAGTTGTTCGTTGTCACCTCACTTGAATAACCTACCCCATCCCCTATTTAGGTCACAAACTGTTACCAGGGTGCGCCGTGCAACTGACACACGGGAAACAGAATTGACGATAGAAAATCCCCAAATCCTCGTATGCGCGGATTCCTGCACGGCAGTAAGATCATCTTTCAGGAAAGAGGTCTTCGGGGCTTTTTTCAAGGCTTCGTTCCGACAACAGCGAGACAGGCGGCCAATTCGGCGACCAGATTCTCAAGCTACACAATGTTGAAGCAGTTGGCTCAGGGCTACGTCGCACCCGGCGAGAAGCTAGGAACTGGCAGTACATTCGCTCTTGGTGGGATAGCGGGCCTTATTACAGTGTACGTAAGCCTTCGTAGCCGAAGGACGACATTGTGAGCTGTGTCCATCGCTAGTCGATATGCTAATATTACCTTCCACGCAGCTATGTGACGCAGCCTCTTGACACTGTCAAAACCAGGTGAGCCTTTACGAGCTTGAAATTTGCGCCTATAGATTGGGACTTACCCCTCAGCAGAATGCAATCGCTCGAAGCTAGTAAAAATTACAAAAACAGCTTCGTTTGCGCCGCGCGGATTTTCAAAGACGAAGGCTTGCTTACGTTCTGGTCAGGGGCTGTACCACGTCTAGCAAGATTGATCATGAGTGGAGGAATAGTGTTCACAATGTTCGTTGGATTAAGTCATTCTCGTCCACACTTTCGGGTGCTAATTCATCACAACCAGGTATGAGAAGACAATGGAGGCTCTCGACTCTATCGATCCTGAGAGAAAATACATATGACGCCGGAACACTATATGAAGTAGTAGATGCTTTAGTTGTATATATGTCGAAGCGGAGTCAACGGGTTCAAGGTTGGCAGACTGAAGTGAACTTTGTTTCACCGCACCGATGGCCAATACCTAACAGTTAGTTGAGGATGATCGTGCAGGCTAATATCAATATCGGCACTAATGTGAAGGACAACTTTACTCCCCGACGGCATTTATCGAATCTTCTGCAGATATGGCTGCTATCTCCCGGTCAGCCAGCCAAGTTCTGACACTATCCATTATAGTCTCTAGACTTTCGCCGCCATCAAGAACACTGTCCAGATTGTGCACTGTAATGCCGCTACGATGGTCAGTGCAACGACTCTGTCCATAATTGTATGTGCGGATCTTGTCACCACGACCCATCCGAGCGACGCCTCCAAGAACACCTCTCCTTAACTCAACAAGTTCCTGCTCACGAGCTTCTTGTCTAGCCTCGGCCAATTTTGCTCGTAGCACTTGCCATGCCTTTTTCCGGTTCGCATGCTGAGACCGGGAATCCTGCATTGAAACGACAATTCCAGTGGGTATATGAGTCAATCGGATGGCTGACTCGGTTTTGTTTACATGCTGACCTCCGGCTCCGCTCGCGCGCATCTTCTCGGTGCGAACTTCCTGGGGATCAACGTAGTAGTCACTGTTTGGGTCGTCGAAATTTAAAGCACTGTCCATACTGGCCCCTGCCTCTGGAAAGCTGGGAAGAACCATCACGCTGACCGCACTTGTATGGGTACGTCCCTTAGTCTCCGTGGCCGGCACTCTCTGCACCCTATGGACCCCAGACTCAGTCCTCAAAAGATCATACGCTCCGTCTGCGTCGATCTCTACGACTGCTTCGCTCAGGCGATCATCCGAGGGCCCGTCTTGCACATCGAGCTTGATCACATTGGACCGTAGGCCACGTCGAGTACAAAATGCAGTGTACATCCTCAAAAGCTCGAAAGCAAAAAGACCAGCTTCGTCTCCACCTGCGCCGGGGCGAATTTCGAGTAGGCAGGGAAGATCTGCAAAGGGGTGGCGGGGAACAAGGGAGTTTTTCAGGGTCTTTGATATGGCTGGCAAAGTACGGTCGCTACTTTTTAAGTCTTCAAGAGCAAGAGATCTTAGCTCGTCGTCGGTCTCTGGATCTTCAATCAAGGATCCGAGTTCCGATAGGGACTGAGATTAGAATAACCATGTTAGTCAAGATTCACGAAGAAAAGCAAATCTCTCATTTTCGACTTGCCTCGTGCGCGCGATCCCATTCCTGCAACGCTTGCGAGATCGATGCAAGTTCGCCCACTCGCTTCGCAATCTTCGCGTCAAATGAGTCCGTCAATTGGGCGGAAAGCCTGGTATGTTCAGCCGCCAAGGAGCGGGCCCGGGTTAGTAACGCCGGTGAGAGATGAGAACCTGATTGAAAGATTAGTCCATATGTATGCAGAAGACCCTTCGCTTTACGTAGCAGTCAAAGTATCCCTACTCGTGTTCAAGTTCCGCTGTTGTGAGATGGCCCTATGGCTCAATGTGGTCCGAGCCGATCTTGCAAGACATCGAGAGCATATCCATGAGAAGCCAATCATCGTGAGTTGAATATGAGAGAAAGAGCGGTATGAAAGAAAGAGCCCAATCTCAATGCTTTGCGCGCGTTATGAAGCGCGGGCTAGGTGATGGAACTATGGCCGATTAAACTGGCTTGATTGAAACACCTGCTTTTGGAGCCCAGGTAGTAAGCGCCTCTTCAATCACACTGCTTCCGAGCTGCAACCCTTATACACTGATTAAGTAGGAAGCTCCCGCCTTCAAATTTGCGGATTTCTGGATGTGTATTTAGAATTTGATATACTTTTCATCCTCCGGGTTTCATCACGTGAATATATTACAGTTTCAATACAGTATTCTGTAATGGGTCTGTAAAGGCCAGACTGGAGGTTAAGCATATTCTAGATGATAGAATATCTCCGAAACTTGGTCGAATTGTATATAAAGAATGCCTCACTATGTAACTCGCCTAGTGACCTCTTTCAAGGTCCTGTTGCTGTGTTGGTATTCTTCAGGTTTTCCATAGTTCAAGCCATCTACCTGACTTATTCACAGCTCGCACTTTGAAGCAGGTTAAGTGCTGCTGAGGAGCGAATTCTATTATGCGCTGTTTGTTCTGAGACTTGTGTGATACCATAGGTCTCAACGATATCTTATGGGTTGAACTGCCAACATGCTCATTACTTTGGAGTCCTTCACAGTTTTCCTGGCCTGTTTTTCAGTTGCTTGTGGCCTCCAGTCTGTGGAGATAGCCCCTGATACTCCTCTGTCGTCTCTGGTCGCTTCGGCAAAAGCCCATCTTGCTAGTGGTTCTGCACGCGATGCTCTGCTCTACTTCGATGCGGCCGTCTCGCGAGATCCAAGCAATTATCTCACAATCTTCCAGCGAGGTGCTGCTTATCTGTCTCTTGGACGATCTGCGCAGGCATTAGACGATTTTGACCGTGTCCTCCAGCTCAAACCGGACTTTGAAAGCGCACTCCTCCAACGAGCTCGCCTCAGGGCCAAAACTGCTGACTGGGACGGTGCGCTGCATGACTTTGAAAGAGCTGGCAAGAAGCTTTCGGAGGAGTATAGAGAAACCCAAGAGGCACGCGATGCCGCCTTCCAGGCATTCGACGCGGAGAAACAGGGTGCGTGGGACGATTGTGTAGGTCGAGCAAATACAGCGATCCTCAAGGCGAGCACATCACTTGGTTTACGGCAAACTCGGGCACATTGTCGCTTCGAGAAGGGTGAAGTGGAAGAAGGTATCAGCGATCTTGTTCATGTCCTGCAATTCTCTCCGGGCTTGATCGAGCCTCATTTGCAAATATCGTCAATGTCATTCTATGCCCTAGGCGACAGTGAACGGGGTATCTCGCAAATTCGCAAATGTTTGCATTCGGATCCGGATTCGAAAGCATGTGCTCAGCTTTACAGAAAAGAGAGGCAGCTAATGAAGAGGCTGGAGAAACTACAAAAAGCGATGGATTCACGAAAATTCAACAACGCTATCAACCTGCTTGTAGGTGTAGGGGATGAGAAGGGTTTGCTTGATGAGGTCAAGGGCGACTTCGAGATTGCGAGAGAGGCTGGCCACATCCATCCTGCAGCCCCGAGCAATTTGCACTCATCCTTAGTTGAACGGACGTGCGAAGCCTACCGTGAGGTCAGTGGTTCCAGAAGATCATGCTTTCCATTTGCTGCAGCTGACTGGGGATATTTGTTTACAGGTTGGTATGCTCAAACGGGCTGCTCCTTACTGCACCGAAATTCTCCGGCTGAAACCACATTCATTGGCTGCCCTTCTATTCAAAGGCCAGATGGCGCTCGACGAGGAGCGTTTCGAGGACGCTATTCGCACCCTCAACGAAGCCAGAGAACATCACCCGGGATCTCAGGACGTCCAGACGCTTATGCAGAAAGCACATGTGTTATTGAAACGCTCCAAGCATAAGGACTACTACAAAGTTCTGGGCGTCAGTCGTGACTCAGATGAGCGCACAATCAAAAGAGCTTATCGGCAGTTGACAAAGCAGCATCACCCTGACAAAGCCGTCTCGCAGGGCGTCTCAAAGGAGGAAGCTGAGAAGAAGATGGCCGCTATAAACGAGGCATATGAAGTTTTGTCGGATCCCGAACTTAGAGCACGGTATGACAATGGCGACGACCCCAACGACCCCGAGTCGCAGAGGGGAAATCCCTTCCAGGGAAACCCCTTTGGTGCCGCCGGCGGCCAGCAATTCTTCTTCCAGCAAGGCGCGCCACATTTCAAGTTCTCGGGTCAAGGATTCAACTTTCCCCGAGGCTTTCCTTTCCGTTAGCATATTTCGTATACTACTGACCCTACAGCTCATGGTGCAGTCTACCTTATTCACACATCTCTGAACTTTCGCGTTGCCCGAAAAGCACGCTACCACTGCCCCGCCTATTAGGATATCAATCCCGCCTCCCTTTCCATTCGGAACTGCAAAGTGTACGTACTCAGTCAGATATGAAGTGTGATACGGCATTCAATTCTCCTTGTGAATCTGCATTCTGTCCGCTCCACCTCCTATCCCTCCCGTTTATTATCTTTCTTTTTCTCACTTTCATAACGGGAGTTTTAGATTATCACTAGCTAGGTGAATTAACACAGCAGGAGTGAGGGGGGTTGTTAGGCTGATCGCTTCGGCGCATCCGTCAGTGGCACATAGCTAACCTGGAAAATCTTCTCCTTGTGAACAGAGCCATCCTCTTTCTTGTCAACAACCCATATGTACTGTCCACCACCGAGTCCAAGGCTTCTTAGGGTGCCATCGTCATTCTCCACATCAACGGGTATGAACAAGCGTCCTGGGGCACGTAACTGCTCAATGAGAACCGGGTGTAGCTTGTCTGCCGCTGCGCCCACATGGATTGCATCATAAGGGGCCCCTTCCCTCCAGCCAAGCCGACCATCGGCGGTGATGAATTTGACTTTTCCGGAATTTAGGAGAGTGCGACCTTGCTCTGACTTGCTCATGTTCGCCCGGGCCAGGTCAACAAGTTCTGGGATATGGTCCACTCCGATAACCTGACCACTGGCATCATTGGTAGACCTATCTGTAACAAGATTGGCGAGAACATGCGTCAAATAACCGGATCCTGAGCCGATATCCAATACCCGGGATCCGGGCTTGAGGAACTCAACTAAGTATTCGCAAGCATGGCCATGCATATGTGGCGCCGAAATCGTCGCTCCATGTCCGATAGGTTGCGGCGAGTCGGAGTATGGCCTCGAGGGCGCGTAATGGGCGCGATCAACCTTGGAATTTCAGTGTCAGAATATCAGGCAGTGAACGGTTTTATTCTTGGGCTACTGAAGTGGAGGATGCTGGGTGGTGGCAGCGGTAGAAGCAAAGTGATGCTCACGCCCATCATAGCTTTTTTCACCCGGTCATTTTTAATCAGTCCTTCCTTGGAGAGGTTCTCGATCAACTCGGCATTTGTGGTGCCGGAACAGTACCAAGCCATTGATGACTGCTTCCTTGTAAATTTTCTCAGCAGTGTGGTTGTCTTTATGTGCCTTTTCAGCATTCAGAAATCACCTGTTAGATTTGAGAGAATATCCCACTCGGACAACCACGTATGATATTAAAGTGATGGGTAGAATGGGCGCCATCCGGAGAGGTCGCCTGCCGCGGGAGATTCCCCATATTATGTCAATATTACGGAGTACCCGGCCATCGGAGCACCCTTCAATCTCACTAATGCGTCATACCATATAATGATGACAAGTAGATACAGTTGCACTCTTATAGCTGCTTTTTAATTTGCCCATTGCCTCTATGGGTTTACTTACTGGCTTTTCTGGCCTATCGGTACATCAAAGCAGGTATGCATGATGGATCTTGATATACATAAATTGACAGGCTGATGTTGTTGTTTTTGGACTTTATCTTTCTGTATACCTGCAGACTATTGGCTTTCCCTACAAATTAAGTGATACATGCTTCTATGGACTCCCTGTAGTAGGACGTAGCTTCACTTGTTAGCCTACATTGTATCAATTCATATGCTGTGTACAGTGTACATGGCAGTAACCAATGTCTGGGTGTGTGACCCACGGCGTGTCTATATATATAACAACACGGACAGTAATACTGTACTGGGCAAGCAGCAATCATAGATCAATCATTTATACCACTTGATTTACAAGCAAAGTCCATCTAACAACGCAGACGCGACACAGATCTCTAATCACCATCACAGAATAACCATACCACTTCTATCTGCAACGCGAACACTCCACATGGGCTTATTTAGTTAAGTCTCGAGTCATGATCACATGGATGGTGTTATACATAACTCTGTTCCCACATCCACCAGAGTAAACGTCACACTCCCAAACAATCAAGCGCTCAAAGTGGAATCAGCTCACCAAGTCAGATAGGACCAGATGAAAGACCACAAGGTAGATCCAGACACTCAGGTCGAGGTTGATACAATTATACTTGACTATCTGCTGTGCACTGTCATAAACACGTTCCTTTGCACACAAGAAAGAGAGAAGCGATGGCACTGCAAGGATCAGAATACCACTTGGTTGATCCAAACTATCAATAGTATGTTGGAATAGAAGCACCGTTGTAAGCACCAAAGGCTGTGCTGACCATGGACCCCATCTCGTCATTTATCGCTCACACAGCCCTGGCCCCGACGCTGATACATGCCGAGGCAATGTCCCAGGACATGCGCATCAAGCTTCAGCTTCTCGAATTCATCACTACATGCAACCAGTATCAATATCATAGCACAGCAGCAAACAATCAACCACCACCGCATGGATTCGGAGAGCAGAAGGAAGGATTTGCGCTCTCGACTGATCGTCAAATATACCCACCACACTCGAAACCCCAGGCCCAGAGACCACACATTGATACGAGCAACGACCGTACCCAACCCACACTGGACATCGGTCCTGCCATCGCTTATGCATTCATCTCCCTGTGCATCGTCGCAAATGACCATTTGTCCGACACTAACTGGGCCGATATTGCAGCCCAGCTCATGCTAAAAGCTGCGTCCGAGAAACGTGGTTCTCATGGGAGTACAACGCCCGACAAATTGTATGAATTGATAGCCCAAGCACCAGAGACGGTTAAAAAAAGGCCTGAATGGCAACGAGTGGCTGATAAGTATGAAACTTACCTACAGCCACCGCTCGGGGTTCTCTCGTCTAGGGACTTTGAAACCGCACTGAAACGCCTGCCTACGCATCAACTTGGAACCATAATTATCGAGTTCCTGTTTGATCTCATGAGACGCCTGAACCCCCCGGTTCTGTTACAGCTTGAGAGAGGGAAGCTCTACGGACTGAGCCGAGCGGAAACACAGGGGCTGAAAACCAAGGTTGGACTGCGATGATAATACGTCTGGCATAAAAATTATTACAACCAACATAGCGCGGTTCTCACTTTGAGCGCATGAACTACAGTTCATAACTTATGCCAATAGCCGAACAAAGGTCTCAGGAGCAATGCGAACGAAGTGTATTGTGAATGCCAATGCCCAATAAGATAGTAGTTTACAAAAAAGGAGGAGCAGTAGGCACCCTTAGGCGGACTTAAAAAGGCCACTAGCCGAGCAACATCCGACGAGGGTCTTCAATGTATTCCTTGACCTGAAGGAATCGTAATCAGCGGAATGTGTCAAGCAACCAAGAAAATCAACGAACCTTGACAAGGAAAGTGACTGCCTCCCGTCCATCCAAAAGTCGATGATCATAGGTCAGGGCAAGGTACATCATCTGGAAACGTTAGCGCCTAACATCAAGTTGGGGCATTAAGGCAATGCATACTGGACGAATTTCCACTTTACCGTTCACGACTGCTGGCCGGTCCTTGATTGCATGGAGTCCAAGAACAGCTTTAAAAAGTCAGAATTCGGTCCGAAATGAACGAGGGAGAGCACAGACCAGTCTGGGGCAAGTTGATGATCGGAGTGCCCATCAAAGAGCCGAAAACACCACCCTAAAACAATGTCAACGATTTTATCACTTCATGAATCATGCTGCTTACGTTGCTAATGGTGAAAGTGCCACCAGCCATATCCTCGATTGTCAACTTGTTGTCCCGCGCCTAAAAACATATCAGTCGCACAAGATGCAAGCCTGTCGCAGATGCCACTGACCTTCTTGCCAAGGTCTGCTATGGCCTTTTCAATTCCGACGAGGTCCATGGTTTCAGCGTTACGGACGACAGGTGTCACAAGGCCCTTCTCAGTAGCAACGGCCACGCTGATGTCAACGTAGTCGCGGTAAACAATGGTGTCACCACCATTGGGGCCTTCGATCGATGCGTTAACGGCGGGGACGTCTTTCATAGCTAGGACACAGGCACGAGAAAAAGCGCTCATGAAGCCAAGCTTGACACCGGTTTTCTTCAGCACATCATCTTTGTAGAGTTTCCGAAATTCCATGAGGGATGACATGTCAACTTCGTTGAAGGTAGTGAGCGAGGCAGCGGTGTTCTGGGACTGCTTCAGGCGCTCGGCTATTCTCAGCCTCATTCTATTCATTTTCACCTATTATCCCCAAGTAACAGAAGAGCCGCGAGTTAGCGAGTGTCAGAGATACAACACAGACATTGAAGGGAACTGTAAACGCACCCTGCGTTCCTCACGACCTTCGAAACTCGGTTTAACGCCAGAAGGAGTCTCTGACTTAGGAGCAGGGGGCTGAGGCTTGGAAGTAGGAGGCTGTTCAGGCGGAGGCGATGGAGCTTTGGGGGCCTCTGACGGCTGTGGCTTGTTGGATTCAGCAGGAGGCCGCTTCTCGACATCTGCGGGCTCCTTTGGCTTCTCAGTAGCTGTCTCCTCTTTTGGGCCAGGAGCGCCACCTAATTCGAGTTTGATCAAGTCCTGGCCAACCGTCACAGTGTCTTCTTCGTTCACGAGGAGCTCCTTAATAGTCCCAGACTCAGGCGCATTGACCGACACGTCGATCTGCAACTTGTTGGCAAAACTTTCATGCAATGTGGACGGTATGTGACATTCGCTGCAACCCTACCTTGTCGGTCTCAATTGTAGCGATCTCTTCGTCCCGCTCAACGTAATCGCCCACCTCTGCCGAACGGTGAGTTAAAGATTAGGAAACGAGTCAAGAGACCTACGCTTCGAGAATTGCTTCAATGTACCCTCGGTGATCGATTCTGCCATCTGAGGGACCTTCACTATGGTATCAGCTGCAGCGAGATCAGCGAAGAACATCATTAGAAACTAAAGCAAATTGCGATACCGTAAGTTCTGATCTGATAGCCGCCGAGGCGGGCGAGACTGCTCCGGGGTACATTGGCTCTATGGAATGTCGACGGTCAGCCAGAGCAGCTAAATCAGCGTGAACTCCGATGTCCTTACCCCGAGGACGGAGCATGCAGCAAAACCGCGCCAGACTTATGCCTTCTAAGCGCCAAAGAGGAGATACTCCTGCGAGCACCAATGCAAGGCAAGCGGGAGCATTGAGCAGTTCGAGGAATAGACCTCAGGTGTAGCTCTGAGAGACGGTGAAATGGTAACCTAGACGCCATATTTCACCCGATTTGATTGGGTAGGTAATCAGAAGTTAAGGAGCAGGAGAATCTGGTACGATTGTCTGATACGAGTAGAGGAGGAAACGTATGGCCCAGAATAACCTACTGAAGACCGGTTCAATGCGTCTTCACTCGACGTTGCAGTACGAAGGTCCAGGATAATAGAGTGACGGAACTTTAAGTTAGCGTAGTGACCAGGGACGAAAGCTCAACCCCGGGCCGAAAGAACCGGAATTTCCCTCAGCAAGACGTTCCATGCGACCGGTAGATGACGGAGTATTATTGTTACGCTTGTTCGGCTTTCCGTAAAGACCAACACGGCAGATTCGGCGCACCTATCAAATTCACTAGGTACACATCTCAAGAGAAACTGCCTGTAGTACGTGGACAGGATTGCGAACAATCACTAGAAATTTACAAATTTACTCTTCAGCTAGCGTTCTCTCTCTGCAGTCGTTGTGTCAGGTCTCAGGGTCTCCTTCCCCTACGATATTGACAGAGAGTAATCATGTCTGCTAACGCCGTTGCGTAAGTTGGTCTCAGAAGGAAGAATAGGCTGCTTTGCTAATCTCAACTTCGCCTTTCAGGTCACTCTACCGCCGGAGTCTCAAGCTTGCCCTTGACTGGGCAGTTCACAGACACGTATGGAGAGGACAAGCTGTGTATATTCGGTCCCTGTTTGAGGCAAATAAGGACGTCCGTGATCCTCGTCAACAAAGAGTAAACCCCCTCTGGCCCCAGCAACCGTCTGGCCGTTGCACAACGCCGAGTCATTAGCTTATACGAACGAATTGGGCAGGTGCTACTCCGCGAAACTGAGAAATTACTGGAAACTTGGAAACACCCGGATCCGTACCGCGCACCTACTGCCCCCGGTGGTAAGTCCGATAAGTTAGAAAAAGGCTGCATCATGCCCAATTGACTGATAATGTCATCCAGGCAGTAAATACGAGAGAAACCTTCCTGCTCGGCAGTTACCTTGTATGTTACACCGTCTGATCTGTCAATTTTGCCTCGATTAACATACGTCTTAGATGCTTCTCAACATGCAGATGCCCACTAAGCTTGGACGGCGTACCAGATCCATGTATTTGCGTCAATTAGACGAGTTTACAATGAGTTCCCTACTCGAAGATAGACATGGCGTTCTAGTAACGTACCTCGAAACTTGTACCCTGGACGTTGCTTTGAACAATTATGTTAAAAGTGCAGAAATGCTTGAGTGGCGTACTGTAAGAACGACCGAAGGTACAGGCCCTCATGTCTACTTAGCGTCAGATCTACTGAGATTCCCGTCGTCTCCGAAAGACAAATTTCATTAAGAAAGCTGTCGGTATCATTCAATGCCCGTAAGCATAATGTACAACCATAAATCAAAGCATGAAAAACAGAGCCATAATAGTGCCCAGTCCAGAACCCCGTTATCACATCATGAGAAACCAAAGCACGCCGATTGAGAAACCCGAACAGGAAAGAAAGAAAAATAGAACAATTAAAGCTCCTGGCTAGGACCCTTTCCACTCTTGGGAGTCTTCTTGGGTAGAAGGTCTGGGAATTGGTTAGAAAATATAGCCAAGACGAAACCCAAGTGCGAAACTTACTTTGGTGAATGTTGGGCAAGACACCACCCTGCGCAATTGTAACGTGGCCAAGCAGCTTGTTCAATTCCTCATCATTGCGAATGGCAAGCTGGAGATGGCGAGGAATGATACGAGTCTTCTTGTTGTCACGGGCAGCGTTGCCAGCCAACTCCAGGATTTCAGCGGCGAGATACTCCAGAACAGCGGCCAAGTAAACCGGAGCACCTATACAAAGGCATTATGGTCAGAACCGCAAGAACAGAAACAATGAGCTAAATCGGGTATAAAAAAAAGTCTTACCAGCACCAACACGTTGAGCGTAGTTACCCTTGCGCAGCAAACGGTGAACACGGCCGACAGGGAACGCAAGTCCAGCCTTCGAAGAGCGCCTAAATTCGAGATGTCAGCATGCTTCGAGGGTTCATGGGAAACAGGGTTGTCTTACGACTGCGCGTTCTTGCTGCCGCTGGCTTTGCCTCCGGATTTGCCTCCAGTCATTTTGTCTGATTAAGAGTTCAAGGTCAAACTGTTGCAGTGGCTTCGGTGGAGTTGATAGTTTTTAAACTGACGGGGTGGACGTGTAGTAGATGGACAGTCGTTGAAGTAAACCAAGAAGCCTGGGTGGTCAGCGCGAGGAAAGCCAGGAGATTTATAATGACGCGCTCAGGGTGACGTTGGCCTGCCCAAACGCCTTTCAGATCACCCTCTCGCTTAGCGGGGCTGACCAATCACCAAAAAGATCATGGTCCAGTGCTCCAATAGCTTGGCCGCATATGTGAGCTACGATCTGTGTGGCCTAGCATAGTGTTGGGGTTCCAAATCAAGTTAAGTGCTGTAATATTTTGGTGTAATTATCATTACATCCGTCTTGGCATGGCTTCACCCTAGTGTTTGTATTACTTGAATGTGTTTACCTTGCTTTAATCATACAGATCATACCAAACCGTGACCGTATTGAAATTCTGTCTCTTTCGCGTACTTCAGATCAACCGGGGTTTCGCAGGCTGGTATAAGTAGCGCGCCTCCCTCGTCACCGCGTCTCCATCATTCTCATCTTCCTTCTCAATCCATCTGCACAACCGTTCGAACGTCAAGTTTTTCTCAGCTCAACCACAATCTATTCTCTCAAGCTCTACTTAGTCGATAGCCTCTTTTGATAATCTTCTACTCACAAAAATGCCTCCCAAAGCTGCCGAGAAGAAGCCTAGCACTGGTGGCAAGGCGCCCGCTGGAAAGGCTCCTGCTGAGAAGAAGGAAGCTGGCAAGAAGACCGCCGCTGCTGCCACTGGCGACAAGAAGAAGCGTGGCAAGACCAGGAAGGAAACCTATTCCTCCTACATCTATAAGGGTAAGTAAATGCTACTGATTATATGTGGTGCGGAAGCTTACTAGGGTGCAGTTCTCAAACAAGTTCATCCCGACACTGGTATTTCGACTCGTGCCATGTCTATCCTGAACTCCTTTGTCAATGGTATTTTCGACACCTCGAAAACATTTGAAACCAAGCGTATTCTAATCCATTACAGATATCTTTGAGCGCGTCGCGACGGAGGCGTCAAAGCTTGCTGCTTATAACAAGAAATCGACCATCTCGTCGAGGGAGATCCAGACTTCGTGAGTAAAGCCCTTATCCATTATATAGATTACACTAATTCTTTTTCTAAGTGTTCGGCTCATTCTCCCTGGTGAGTTGGCGAAGCACGCCGTTTCGGAAGGCACTAAGGCTGTCACGAAGTACTCTTCTTCTGCCAAATAGGCATGTTGCTTCTTGCTTTTGCCTTTTGTTTGTTTCTCGGGATTGTCATTTTTACTGCCTCCTTATCTTCACGGTTTTGAGGCGGTGGGTTACAGGGTGTTTGCGGATCTTTTAATGTGTCATGGGATGGTTTGATATTTTCTTTTCTTTTTTTCCTTTTTGCCCTCTCCTGATGCCCTTTGGGTTGAATGTGTTCATGGTTCATTCGCGACGAGAATGCGGTGTAACATAACTCGGATTTTGGGGCTGGTTGCACGATTTTCCTTCCCCTACAATAAATCGGAATCTCATTTGCTTATGCAACATATTCTTGACAGTCGCCTCGAATTGGTGGGATTGGGCATAAACTGAATAGCGGTTCCACATTGATTGTTTGTTCGAGGTTCTATACTTGACATATCACGGCATTCGCTGTTTTTCAATCATCATCCAAGACCTCTACCTCATCGATCGCCCCTTCACGGCCCTGGAAGACAGCAGTGTCTGATTCGCTGAGTACATGTACAATAGGTTTCCCCTGAACAGATACCCCGCTCTTCCAGTGTGCCCAGTCTTCTCTGTCCTTTATAATGAAGCCGATAAGCATGCTCGGATCCATGTCTCGAACGTGGATTCTCCTGAGGCGTCGAGTATGATAGGTTTCTATCTCTTCATCTGTGTATGGCTCATCGATATTGCGCCGTGGCAACGCTGGGCGGGTCTGATGGGGGTCAAGGTAAAATAGGTGCGAGCCTTGAACACCGACGAAGTAATGCGATGCTGATGGGCGTCCACTGCAGATTCGGTCACCACTGGTCCAGAAATCTTGGATCTTTAAGTGATAACGTACCCAGCTATTCCTACAGATTGGGGGAGTTGCAATGTGGTCTTTACCGCGTCCCAGTACACGGGAGTAATACGATCGATTCCCAGTCGCGTCCCAATTAATATCAGTGTTGGTCTGAATGACCCTCTCTCGTCGTGGGCAGCATCCAGGAATTTATCTTCATGCACATCTGCTGTATCATCAGTCATGTAGACACCAAGATTGAGGCTTCCATGTTGAGACACAAGGGCCCTAATTTCATATGTGAGCTACGCAAATGGCCCAATGTGATTGCGACATACTGTATGCATCTGGCAGTTGCGGAGGGCCCAAACCATTCCCCAGGATGTTTGTTACAGGACTCGGCACCATGCTGGACAAATCGATGTATTGAGAAAGGTGCATCCGGGTGATCTGCAAACTGTAACAATAGCTGAGCCTCCCGATCAGTGTCTATTCCTCGACGCCAACCTGTAGGCACGTTAGCTTACTGCGGCTTGAACACCGGTGAAAGTGTTGCCGTTGGTTGTTACCTCGGCCAAATAACAATATAGATATTGCGTTAGCCAGGAGGCTCTGCCCTGACCTTATCATGCAACCCCATCCCGTGTCGGATGTAAATCCGTGCTGGTCAACGAGCTGACTTCTCAGTCGCACGCTCAGTGTCATTGCGGAGAACGCATCCTGGTTGATAGGCTTCGGTATTGGAGGGAAGTTCGATCTGTAGGTAATCCAGATCCTTGATTCGAAGTCGTGAAGGAACGATTCAGGCCAACCCTGTTCGTCTAATTGGCCCGGCGTTGTAGCCTTTGGGCCCAGCTGGTTTGGTCCTTCTTCGTTTGCCAGTCCCATTAATTTGGGCGTTGCTGTGGATGCATGAGCCCAAAGAGGGACAACGACTTTTCCATCTGGCGTGGCTTACCGGAGCGTCTATTGTCTCTCTCCATACCATCCGTTGTATATTTGGTTCCCAGACACCAGATAGGGTCTCCAGGTTGATCGTTTCTGGGTGCAGGATCCCAGATATACTGTATAATTCGCTTGCAACGTTCCATGTCTACCCCATTCATTTTGAATGGCGTCTTGGGAAGGTCTGTATGTCGGTCTCTGCGGAGTGCTGAGGCGCTCTAGCCAACTAGTTTGCTCTATATTGTTGGTATATGTTTCACGTCAACGTTGGTTTGCTGCCTGTGCACATCAGTATATGAAGGCTCATCCCAGTGGCCTACTGTTGTTGAAGTGGTGTGGCTGTGTAGGGACTATACATACATCTGCGTATGGTCATCCGTTGTTGCTATGATGGTCTATGGGTAGCGGTGGTCCCAGTGATTGTTCTCTTAGAGAGGGGTTCCGTCATACAGCACCAGTCACGAGACTATTGTATATGTGCAGCACACACACATATATATATATATTCTCTCAACTGCCGTAGCGGGTATTGTATGTTACAGTCTAAAACCCACGACCGTCTACTTGACCACGAGGACATGCAATGACAACCGCGTAAAGATAAAAGCCTACGATGGCTACATAGGTAATTACCCATAAAGTTATACAGCATCGAAAGGAACCCAGTGACATACTTCCGTCATAGGGAGGCTCTGCTACCACGGATAAGGATATAATGATAAGCACGTCACGTCACATGCATACACCACATACACCGCCTTCAATGTCAGCGGAAGACAGATTAGGTAAATCTTGACTCCACCAAGTTCCAACTTCTAAGAGAACCCAGCAGACCGAGTTTTTTCCAACATATAAGAACCGTGTGGAATGCATACAGGAAAAGTACAATGCCAGCGTGCTCCTCAGCGTAAAGTAGGCAATCGACATTGAACCGAAGAGGGCATACCCAGAGAATCGATCTCAGAAAGCACTATTGCCGAAGGCAAAAAGGGTGAAGACATGGCTCGCCACAGCAGGGTGAAAGTACGCACGAACAACCAGAAGGTTGTGACAAAAACTTCACACACAGGTACATCATCTCCCATATAACCAACCGACCATAATCAACTGACTTGTTGCAGCGCACAGGCATCCCCAGCTCTCCATGCAGCAAGAAGCACGAAACACCGAGGGGCGCAATATATGGCGGGTGGGTACTAATTTTCGCCATCAGGCGGTGCAGTTTGTGAGTGCAGGCCTACAAGAAAATGACGAGAGAAATAAGGAAAGTCTGGACATGCAACACAAGGGAATAGCAATGACCCCACCTAAACTGCCCCCAGAACAATCCAACGGAGAGTCCATGCGATATCCACACCCTACTATTATTGCACCGGATGGGGAGATTGCCACGGATACTGAGCATATAGACCATATCGCCACCGGAGGGGATAACACCAGCGAGGATGAGATAGTGTTTACTGGACGGCACCATAAAACAAAGTACGCTCGAGGACCATCAGACAGAAACCGGTCTCCGATATCAAGTCCAGCCAGGCAGCACAACGCTAGGAGCCCCGCTCGTCGAAAAGAGCATGAAATCCCCAACTATCGCAGAGGACACGAACCTAGCCCGCAGATTAACGGCTCAACGCAGCCTTGGCTACCGCATCACAGCCACAAAATACCGACACAGTCATGTCCCACAACTGAAAACGCGTCGGGAGACCTACTGCATGCCACAAAATCTACATTGCCGGAGAGAACCGAGCGAATACAACCACATGCCATTGATGAGACTGTTGATTTTATACCCTTCAAGTCCAGACGTCCGTCAATTAGGGGGCAATATTCGAGACTTCTCGAAGATGAAGAAAATGACATATTGGCTGACTACATAGCGAACATTGACGATGACTACGGAGACTACTGTCAGTGGACTGATTTATGTCGCAGTACAAGCACGGAATCCGACAACGGTCAAATAGACAGATCGGCGAATACACTTGTCTCTGCTGAACTGGTCAATGCCAACTATTCCGGCCCGCCAAACAATGGACAGGGAATAATTCCATGCGAACGCGGCCAAATGTTGGCTGAATGTGAAGATGAGAGTGACCCTGATCTGGTTTCCGGAGGTATGCGCAGTCAACTGCATCCAAGTACTTATCCTATGCTGAAGCCACCAGGGTTTACTGCTAAATCGAATGGATTCGCGGTGCTTTGCACAAGTTCGACGGACAAACATAGCTCCACCAGCTCTTCCGAATGCAGTGATACCGAAACGAAGGGAATCGGCAAGCACTCGGAGATTGAGACAGAGAGCAGTTGTCTGTCTCGACCGCACCGTAACCGCAACAAAGCAAAGGGAAATCATTTCGCTTCGGCTACGGCTTTTGCTGATGCGTTGGAATCGGACCCATTTTATGGATTCGATATAATGGACTTCAACAGACCCAGCCTGCGGAACAAAACAAAAGGGAAGCAGCGTGATTTTGATCTGTCATTATCCGATAGCGAGTTGGAACTGCAATTGGAACGGGCGTGGCGAAATGACAGGGAGAAGAAGAGAACAAGGAAACAGAAGAGAGAAGAGCTTCGTGCTGGGGGCCTGCTCAGTCGGAATGCAAATGCGCCTGATCTCAGAGCGAAGTATTCGAGTGGCTTGGATGTCGATGATCTGAGATCGGAAATGCGTAGTTTCTTGCTATCATCGAAAGAAAGGTACGAGTTTTCCTGCAGCCGGTATTGAAAGTTTTAAAACCAGAGTGCTGAAACCCGGACTTTGTTTAGCTTGTCTCTTCCGCCCATGTCTAAACATTACAGGAAGGTTGTGCATGACATGGCAGGTGCACTGTCACTTAAATCACAGTCCCGCGGCAAAGGCTCGTCCAGATTTCCCATGCTGTACAAGACTTCCCGCACCCCGAAGCATACACAGAAAACGATCGCACAGGTGGAAAAAATATTATCGAAATCTCAATTCTCTCCCCGTGGCCCCAAGGCACGGTCCCAGAACAACAAGAAACTGGCGAAGGCTTCACGTGGTCGCCCTACATCGTCTGTCAGCTATATGGAAGGCGACGTCGTTGGAGCATCAGCACCGGAAATTGGAGCGGAAAACAAGGGAAGAGCTATGCTTGAAAGGATGGGATGGAGTTTGGGGACTCCGCTCGGTGCCATAAACAACAAAGGCATTCTGTTACCTGTTGCGCACGTCGTGAAGAATTCCAAGGCTGGCCTAGGGTAGATAGTTTCGAGGGGATCTTACAATCCCTAGGTTGCATCTTCTACGGTTGTCTTTCTAAGGCTAAGAGGTGGACCTGCAATGATGATAGGGGTTCCAACACTCAATAAGCCTGTCGCACTTCCAAACCTCCTTTCATGGGGCGATGAATGGCACGAACCTGGGAAGTGTTCCTGCTAGAATGCCTTGTGATATAACAAGGCAATTATTGTATTTATCACTATGATTACCCGCAAAACCATGATGTTTGAGACATCTACGTCCACATCACTCCTTTCACTACGACACGGATGAGGGAACGGGTGGCTAAAGATCAATAACAGTCACCTAGTTCATAAAAGGGCTTGTTCAAATGCTAGTCTTTGCTACCTTATTGGCGGCTGGGCATGGTCATACTTCCTCAAGTGTGCAAAAAGCTGAGTTTTGGATAGAAATGCAGCGTTGCAAGTGGTGCAAATCAATCCGGGAGAGTGACCCAGAGCCTGCTGAGCCGCCTTTCGAGCGCGTTTCTGTTTGGCTTTGCCTATCTTTTTGATTTCAGTCGATTGACTCTGACCCAAGGCGGAGGCTGAAAATTGTTGAGATAGTAAATCAACAGCATCATCTGCCCTCTCAGAGACATCGTCCGAGCCCGTGGGATTGAGAATGGTTGCGCTCGATTCGTGGCTAGCATGTGTCACAGGAAATATGGTATCAGCTTCCGTGAATTCGCGACCACTTTCCTCTTGCGTGTCATCCATGATGGGTGCAATGTTTTGATCAGCATCAGCATTGCGTCCACATTGGACCTTGCCACTCTCTTCATGACTGGAGGAGGAAGCTGCGGAGTCGTCGTTGCATTGCTCTAGCTGAGCATGGTCGCTGTACGGCGCCATATACTGGTCAAGATTGAGGGACTCGTTTTCTGCTCTCATCTCCCAGCGAAGCTGTTTGACGGCCTTGACGTGTTTCTTGCTACGTTCATGTGCGTTGAATTGATTCAGGCTCTTGAAAGCCTTCCGGCAAATGATGCACTCGAACTGCTCAAGTTCAGATCCCGAACTATCCGGATTCTCTTCCTCAGCCTCTTCTGACTTCGCCCAATCAGGTAGAACATGCTCACGCAGCTTTGCTTGATTTACTGCTCTTGATTTAGCAGCTTGTGCAGCGGCAGTTTGACGGAGGAGCTCCCGGCGCTGCGCTTCGCTTTGGATGCCTCTTTTATAGCGCGGATCCCTCTTTTTAACAAAGGCCACAAGCGATCTGACAGCTTCGTTGAATTCGCGGATACCTTCCTCTCTTAACCGCTTATTTTCTTTCTCCATCAATCTGCGCACGCGACGATCTGGAGCCTCGGAATACCGGTAAATATCTTTCCAGGCGAAAGATTTCTTGGTTGAAAAGCTACTCCAGACGGTATAGAAGGGCCGTACGACGTCTTCAAAAGCATCACTTTGTGACCCGAAAGTCGGATAGGCGACAAACTCCAACTTGTCTGCGCGACATGCCATTTCTTCCTCGAGAGCAAGCCGGGCAAATACCGCTCGAAGGCCGCCGAAGAATCCAGATGGAGAATCCGAGAATTCCATTCGAGGACTGAACTTGGAGAACAGCTTTAAGATGTCACCAGAGGTTGTCATACGGCTATCATAGCAGTATTCGCTACTACTTGGCTGCTCATCGCGACTCAAGAATGCATCTTTGTGAGTATCATACCATGCGCGCTCTTGAGGATCTGAAAGAACTTGATATGCAGTTTGAATTTCTGCAAACAGTTTCGTTGCAGCTTCGACATTGCCATAGTTTTTATCCGGGTGCAGCTCAAGAGCTTTTCTTTTGTATGCTTTCCTTATTCTGGATGAGATTCGAAGAGAATAATGTCAGCGTAACTGGCACATGGCGGGATATAGATTTATAATCTCACTCGTCTGTGGAAGCGTCATGTTGTATCCCCAGGAGTTCATAATAATCTTCTTTCCTCTCTTTGGACAAAGGTTCAGTGGAATATGCATTATCCTGGAAATTTGTGGATTGAGATTGGCCCATAAGGGATTGACAGCCTGACTTAGGTAAATCACGGAAAGAAGTGTATGTAATGACAGTGCAGCTTGAGTTCTGAGTTTCTAGTAGATATTAGTGTGGAGTAGGCAGTACTCTGTACTTATCTTAATTCCTCTGGGGCTGTTTCCTCTGTAGAATGGTATTCTAGTGAGCCTAGAATAGTTTCATAATACTTCATCTTGGTAGTTACTATTACATACAACTTATTAATAGTAGTTCAGGGATCATCATCTTTTGAGCGTTTAAATTCTAATTTAATAGAATATAATATTACTATATGCCACTGAGCCTATTATAATAGTACTACTCACCTATCTAGTGTGAGAGCACCTATAGAATGCTCCCTATTAAACTGTAGATACTGTAGTAAGTATTAATACCTTTATAGTTAAACCAATTATAAGGGTATAAGATGCTTACCCCTAAGCTACAGTGGGGTGCAAAAAGTATTCAGCCACCTGTCCACCCCTACCTTAGTGCCTACTATTCGCTAGACCTAATTAGGAAGGATTTTGTTTCTATTATAACTAATATTTTGTATACTATCTATCTGCCTTTATAACTGCCTTTACCTAGTTATTCTTTGCCTTTACAGCCTATTTTGGTTGTTGATATCCTGTAGAAGTAATGGATATGTACATGTTTTGTGGTTTTCTGCCAGCAGAATAGTTATAGTGGAAGTATATTAAGCATGGTATTATACTAATTAACTAATTAATAATTCTTCTAAGGTACTCTATTATAAGAGATATAAACTAATATAGTACTACTTATATAGTACTGTGATATCAATTCAATCTATGAGAATGTGTAAGGGATATTTAGTAGGTGTTATTAATATATATATAACTATGTAGGCTTTTACATTCCTTTATAGCCTAGGTAGAAGTATAAAAAGGGGCTAGAATCCTTTAATAGTAAGAGGATATATATAGGATGGCTGCTAGCCTACCCCCTACCCTTATATAATTTAAAGTCTCTACACCCCTTATAATAAATAAATATTCCATCCAGGAGTATATCTAGATTAAGTAATTATATAATACTTAATTCTAAGAAGGTTTAAATATTTTATTAATAATAGATTATAGTAATCCTAGAAGGCATAATCTCCCTATTATTAATAGTATTATTAACAATAGAGGATTAATAAGTATTTATAACCTTCTTAGACTATCTAGATACCTTAAGTAAGAATTACTTTATTATAAAATATCTCTTAACTCTTCCCTAATATAATGTTATAGTTATAAATATTATAGACTATTCTAAGTCTTCTAAAAAGTAACTAATAATAGGATTAATAGATAACTATAAAGAATAGTATAAATTTATATTATTAAAATTATTTTAATAGATTTAAACTATTATTAATAACTTCTCTTCTAATTTTTTTTTGATTTAATTACTATTCTTTACTTAATAATATAGATAATATTAAATTTGTATCTTCTAGTATAGAGACCTCTTAAATCTAATCTACTAATTATAGTAATAGCTTTAAGGTAGACTAAATTTAACTTTAATAATAATTTAATCTAGCTACCTAGGGTATAGCTAATAATAATACTTAGACTAAATTAATCTAATTATATAATTATCTAGTTAAACTTCTTTAGATAAAGTATATTATTAAGATTATACCTCTTTAATTAATATTAAGAAAGCTATAATAGCTACTTCTAATCTTAATTCTCTCTTTTTTATTCTTTCTATAATACTTAAGCTATACTAAAAGATCTCTAATCTTAAATTTATCCCTATATATAATAGTAAGTATAGTAAAGATACTATAATAAAGTAGCTTTAAAGAGTTAATAACTATTTTTAGAATAAATAAATACTTACTTAGAAAGTTACTATTAATATTAAAAAGATTATAGTAGTTAAGTATTATCTTATAGGCCAAGCTAAAGAATATTAAAATACTTACAAATAGAAGATTAAATATATTTTAATAGCTATAGTAGTATTACTACTCTAGATACTTTTAAATAGTAGATTTAAGATAACTTTAGAGAGATTAGAAGAGAAAATAAATATTAGGAAGAGTATAAGAGATATACTTAAAAAATTTAAATAGTATAATTGTTAAGGGCTACGGCGGACCATAAGACCACCATACACACCAGATCATATGACACACACTGTAATTATCTCTGCAAGTTGCTAAGTATTCCACAACTCAGCAATTAGTCCTCCTTACTTAGGCAATATACAGTTATTTGCTCCCTTCACACTGATCTTACCAGTTGATATCAGACTTCTATGGCCGATCTTACAATAATCTTATACTACTTTCCTAATTAAAGCTATTCAATATATTAAGTCTAGAATTCCTAATAATATATTAATTTAGAAATTTATTATTAATTTAAAGCTAGTTCTATATACTTATTAGATAAAAGATTATAGTAAACTAGCTACCTTTAATAGTATAGTTTATTATTTTATTAAGTATAAGTAGGGAGTTACTCTATATATCTAAGTATAATTTTAATCTTTTAGTAAGATTAATAATTACTAAATAGATCTAATAGATATTAATTTAAATATTATTACTACATCTCCTAATTATCTAAAAAAAGGGATAAATAAATAAAAAATATAATATTAAACTAATTAAGCCTACTTTAATTATAGATAGAAGAGCTATATTATTTAAGCTTATACTTTACTAGACTAGTTAAAATTTAATTATAAAAAGTAATTAGGAAATATAAAAGGCTACTAGATAAGAAAGTACTAGTTAGTTAATTACTAAAGACTTCTAATATTAAGAACTATAATATATCTAATAATCTTAAATCCCTAGAAGATTAGAATAAATTTAATAATAATAGTAATAAGGAGAATAGACTACTATAAAAGGTTATATTTAGTACTATAAAGAATAGATTTAGAACTAGGAGATTATAATTATATTAATACTTATTTAAGTATTTTTAGATCTAATATTCTTTATTTCTTAGCTATACTTAAAATACCTTAGATAATAAGCTTATCTCTAGACCCTACTAGACTATAGTTCTAGTTATATATTTATTTTAAAATATCTAGCTAATTTATTACCCCTTTATAATTTTAATTTTAATAAATATCTAAACTACTATAGATCTAATTACTAAATAACAAACTTATATATATATTATACTAAGTTTAAATTTTATTAAAATTAGGTAATTAGTGCTATATAATTACCTTATAAATTCTTAAAATAATAGAGTATAATATTATCTTAGGTTAAGATTAGCTAAAATATATTAATCTAATTATTAATTAGGTTTTAGGTTAGATATATATTAAAGGATATAGAATAAAGTCTATTATTATCTATCTAATTAATTTTTATTACTAAATTAATTTAGACTCTAATTTAGAAGTATTTATCTATTCTATCTCTACTAAATAACTCTATTATATACTTTAAAAAGGATAATAAGAAGCTTAGTTATTATTATATATCTATTTAAGAGGGATAAGGAAATATTAATAAACCTATACTTAATGGGTCCTCTACTTACCTAGTATAAAGATATATTTAGGGAAGAGTTATACCTAGAGTTATCTCTAGAGAATTTAATATAGTATTACATTAATAAAGGAGATTCTCTATTAGTAAATATAAACTCTTACCTATAGTCACCTAAGAAGCTTTATAAGATAAAGAAATAAATTAAAGAACTATTAAAGAAGTAATTATTTATTCTTTAATTAGTGCTTAAGGTTTTCCTATTATAATTATCCCTAAGACTAATAAAAATAATAAAAATATATTAATTATTACTTACTTAATAAGGTAACTATTAAGAATACTTATCTACTACTATAAATTTAAGAACTTCTAGATTAAGTAGATTAAGCTAAATACCTTTTAAAACCTAACCTCCTCTCTAGATACTAGTAGTTATAAATAGATAAATTATTAATTTTAAAGATAGCTTTTAATATATTATTTAGTAAGTTTAAATTCTTAGTAATATCTTTTAGACTTTATAATATACCTATAATATTCTAAATAATAATAAATAGTATTATTTAAGATCTTAACTTTATAGTAATATACCTTAATAATATCTTAACCTTTTAGATTTAAATAAAGAATATTAAGAGTATATTTAGTAAGTGCTTAACTAATTCTAAAAATATTACTTATATATAAAACTCTTAAAATATATATTTACTAAGAGAGAATTAGAATTTTATAGTTATATTATTAGTAATAGATTTATTTAATCTATATTATAAAGATTATGATTATTAAGATATAGCTAATACTAATAAATATTTATAAAGTCTAATAATTCTTAGGACTAGCTATATACTATTATTAATTATAGCTCTACTTTATAAATTTCTAAAGGAATTAGATACTTTACTTTATAAAAAAAGTTTTATTTTATAGTCTAGAATACTTAATATTAGTAAGTATTTATTATATTAAGTATTTATTATATTAAAGAATACTATAATTTATATATCTATTTTAAGGATTACTAACCCTAAACTACTATATTATATTAAGACTAATACCTCTAAATAGGCTCTTAATATAATATTATTATAATAAGATAAGAAAGGATAATAGCATCCTATAGTATTTAATAGATAAAAATTTAATAATATTAAAAAGGACTATCCTATATATAAGAAGAAACTTCTTATAATTAAGAAAGTATTATAATACTAGGATTATTATATTAAATATAGTAAACCTATTATAATTATAATAGATTATAAAAGTCTTTAGTACCTAACTAATATAAGGATATATTCTAAATATCTTATATATTAGATTAAAGAATTTTAAATATATAATCTAGTTATATAATACTATAAAGGAACTAAAGTAGTTATTATTAATGTATTAAGTTATTAATCTAAGTTTATTAAATAAGGTCTAGTAAACTAAGTATAAATATATACTTTAAGTCTATCTATAATATAGTTATAGTAGATAACTAGTAAAAAATATCTTTATACTCTACTTAACCTCTCTAAGTTTAAATAGTATTTATTAATTAATTTATTCTAAAAGGTAAAAACCTAAATATATTAAATAATATTAAAATAAAAATTAAAATATTAGTACTAAATTTTTAAAATAGAATATATTAATTACTAACCTATTAATAGACTATACTACCT